AAAAAAGCACAAAAAAAGCACGAAAAAAGCACGAAAAAAGCACAATTTCTCTGGAAAAAATGAATCTCAGGCCACCTGGCCTCGACAGCCTTCGGACCAGCGGCCCGGCAAATGTCTCATACCATTTCCTTTTTTCCAACCTCCTTTCCAAAAAAAACTCTCAAGAGTGAGCCCATGCCAGGAGCGGGAATGTGAAAAAAAATGTAATTATCATATGATGTTTATTAAGAACCTCAACAACTATTGTTGGAGGCACGCCTTTGTAACGCTTTTCACTTATAACTTACAATGGTTGGACCGTTTGATTGCAGTATCTCGGTATCTCAGGTATGCTGCATTCAATATTGTAAAGAATGTCATGAGTCATAGTATCGTATCATCATATCGATGCAACACCTTGCATCATCATACCATATTATTGCCATTGCTATTTGACACACAAATATTCAGATAAACAAAATCATGTCAGCTGTCAGACTTCCCAGAACCATTCCAACGTTCCAACCATCAAAGGATATCAACAGCAACATCGATACTTTGATTTTTTTGGCTAGTTGATGACAAGTTCAGCAAACATGTCCTGATGGCTCCAACAATATGGCGCAATACAAAAGGATGTTCGTTAAAATGATTTAAATGGTTTAACCACAAACAATGCCACCTGAAAGGTAGTGATGTTGTTGCATTCACTACTCCACCCTTTGTTACTTGTACGGCCCACCTAGATCACATCTTCTCCCAAGCAGACCCTAAGGATCCCCTAAAATGGCCTGAGTTACCACCAATATGATTGTGCTTTTTTGGTATGTGGTTTATGAAAGGGGGGCAGTTTTGAACTGTTAGTGGGCGGGGGCAGACCTCAATATATATATATATATAAATACATATAATCTGGGTAAATTATAACGACCTCACTGCGACCTCACTGGAATCATGGTTAATAAGGGGAATCATCCCCAAATGGGCCTTAATCCAGGTTAGTGAAATATTATAGTTTACCCATATATATATAATTTATGGCTTAATACATCTATCATAAATAAATATCGTGGTATTATATATATATATATATTATGGTATTATCTATCATAAATAAATGATATATATATATATATATATACATAATTCTAGATTATATAAATATATGATTCCAATGAATCCCAGCTGGGTTTTTTTCACAAAACATCTTCGAACATACAGGAACATATAGGAAAATATAGGAAAATCTAAGAACATATTGGAAAATATAGGAAAATCTAAGAACATATAGGAAAATCTAAGAAAATATAGGAACATATAGGAAACTATGGGAAAATCACCCAAGAATGGGGGGATTCTCATATATCCAGTTAAAGAAGCGGAGGGTACTTGGTTGATCAAAAGTTTCCTAAGTCTGAATGGCCACCATGGTTGGGACCTAGTTGGATTAGATACCCGTGAATTGCAGGATGGTGATACCACCATTTGTAGAGATTTGTACCCTTTGGTAAACGTACGAACAATAATAGGTAAATCACCTATTTCTATGGCCATTTTCAATAGCTATGTTAGCTTACCAGAGGGTATTGCCAAAAAGGCAAGGATTCCCACAATGTGATGGATGACCATACCTCATACTGTTAAAACATGCATTGATGACCATGGCACATAGATATCAAAGATGTGCTTATCAAATTTTGGTTCGTTGACAAGAAGAGAAGGGCTGCCTTCCAAAGGACTTGCTGCTGCCATGAAGTTATCAGGACTAAGTGCCTTGCATTTCTGGATCCTTTTTTCCGGAACTTGAACACCTGAAACCTAGATGAACATCCAAGTTTTCATCCAATACTTAATTCCAATTTCCAGATTTCAAGACTTTTTGAAAATCCAATATCATCCAATATCATCCAATTATCCAAGTTTTGCAACTCAACTTTGACCTTCATGAACGTCACCGTGTTGAGACACCCGCGTTTAAAAAAACGTCGAATCTTCGGCCGCGCCTCGACGACTCGACGACTCGCCATGGTGCATCATGTGGTGGCCGCCATCGCCACGGGCATTGGCCTGCTGACGGATGCTCGGCGGTGGGGAGCTGGGGCATAGAACGTGGGATCTAAGGGAGATATCATGCGGAGCCAAGAAATCCTGGGAAACCAACTGGATGATGATGATGGGTGTGCAAGGTTGATAGGTTTGATAGGTTGGCTAACTTAGTTTACTCGCGATGATGATGATGATGGGTTTAATTTTGATAAAATAATGATAGTTGGACAGAGTTGTAAATCAACTTAGCTTGCCCCTCTACTTATAAGTTGAATTATCTACCATAAACGCTAGTGAAATACTTGTTTTCACTGTTCACCATAAACTATCATGTTGGTGCCCCAGCCAAATGTATGTTCAACCGCCGCGCCAGGACAAGTACATGCTGGGCGCCACGAACTTTGTGGAACACTATGCCCATGACTTCCACGCCACGGACGCTCAGAAGGATTTCGTGAAAGCGGCCATGTATGGCGGAGCGATTTTGGGCATGATCGTCATGGGTTCTTTGGCGGTTGGCTGTTGAAAGGGAGGGAAAACCATGGATGAAAGGGGTGATTGATGTTCACCATGGCGCTAAAAAGAGACCATGGGATGACAAGGGGCCCCTTATAAGTTGGGATGTGGGGAAAATAGAACTAGTTATATACTTATGTATCCTGAAGTGGAACTGCCCTGATGTTTTTCTATTTGCAGGTTGGAAGGTAGTCTTCCAACCCGCAACTCAAGTTGAGGGTCGATGTTAATTGGGTGGATGGTGACCAATTGCTATCAAGTAACAAGTATCCTACTTACCTGGTTGGTGGTTTGGAACATGTTGTATTTTTTCCCATATCTTGGGAATGTCATCATCCCAACTGACGAACTCACATTTTTCAGAGGGGTAGGTATACCACCAACCAGCTACCGTTTTGTGTTACGCATTTTTCTACTTCTGGCAATTCACAGATCCTACTGTTGTGAGCATTGTCGATTGGCCAGCGGGTGTACGCGTAAAGCCGGGCCTGGATTTAGCACTTGTTGACCCTAATTTTGTATAGAAATAGTATTACAATGTCTTGCAATATATATATATGCATATAATGTATGGAATTAACTTTTCGGTTTCGTTCGATTTTCGATTTATGTTTTATAGCCAAGTTCACCAACACATCATAGGATGGGGAAACTGTGAGCGGACCATTTTTTGGCACTTCGACCCGGGACGGATGAAGAAGTACTGGAGAAATCATCGAAAAAATGTTAAAAACAGCTTCTGGAATCTTATGGATTTTTTATCTGCCTTATGTGGGTCTGAGTCAAACTAGAGAACTAGAACCCCTGCATGAGGCCCTTTGTCTGACATCATCGGAAGACGTGCTGGATTGATTCTGTGTTCCCTCATCACGCTTTGCGGTGCTCTTCTGAGTGTTTTGACTGCAGATCATGCACACACACAGAGATATATAATGATATACAGCGCGAGCGTTATATAAGAATGTTGGTTGCCGATGGCCAGGGTCCCTCAATTTCTTATCGGAAAGGCCCCATGTATGTCAGTATATATATATAATTATATATGTATGTACAATTATTCGGTCGAGGGACCCTTAATTTCTTAGCAATTTCTTAATGTAGTATTCAATATGACACATCCGAGCTTCCCAGCATATTTGGCTTCAGAGAAAAGACATGTCAGACATGCAAAGTTGACAATTTGATAGTTTCATGCGGCATTTTGCCGGTGACAGATTGCAAATTGAAATGAAAGGCAAAAGGGGGGCAAGACACAAGAGCAGACAGTGCCATGGTGGTGCAAGGCTTAGAGCAGCCATACAAACCTTACCCAGTTGGGACAAAACTAGGTCCACATTGGAAAGAGACGGCCAGTGCCCTGCACACCGGAATGCGGAATTTACCCAAAATGTCTGCCGTGGATGACCAGGGGTCAGACTCGAGTGAGGACTCGAGCGATTCCGACTCCAATTCCTCTTCTTCTTCAAGTGTTTCCAGTGCTGTGCCCAAAGCTGTGCCATATCGGCTGCAAAAGCAGCTCCTGCAGCCAAATTGTCTGCAAAAGCAGCTCCTAAAGCCAATGCCAAAACTAAGGCAAAAGCTAAAGGAAAGAAGGCAAAGCCTCTTTTTCCTGAATTGGAAGCCGCGCATCCTTGGGCGGTCAAGAAAGTTCGAACCAACATGAATTTGCCTCTTGCGTTTACTGATTTGCAGTACAGCGGCTTTTTGCAATCAGTGGACGCAGATGCCATGGTGCTTTGTGGCCAAGGGCTTGTGAAGTTGCCTCTCGATGCGCTCGAGCTGGACAGTTGAAAATTGAGCAGGGGCGCAAAGGGGCTCCTTCACATACATCTAAATTTCTTAGCCCTTAAAATTCCAGGGTCCCTCAATTTCTTAACTTCCATTTGCTATGTATTCCACAAAACATATATGCGGAAAACAAATCCAGCCCCTCATTTTCTTATACAAGGAATTCTTATACAGCGCTTGCACTGTATATATATATATATATACATGCATGCATGCAAATGCATACAGGCACATACATATACAGATACGCACACAAATACACATATACAATCATATAAAAATATACATATCAATCTGTACATATGCAAATATACGTACATTTACATACATTTACATTTGTAGAAAGACATCCCCGCACACACAAACATGCATACATGCATACATGCATACATCGATATGTGCATTGCATTGCATTGTATTGCATTGCCTGACATACAAACGTAAACAGTGCAATGCAATGCCCTGCCATACAACGCAACAGGTACATACACAGCTCTGTGCGAATTTCAGATGTCACCATAGCGTCACCATCAATCAGGATCTGTCAGGGGAATTTCCTCAGATGACCTTACTTGAGGTTGTTGAATCATTACAAGTCAGCTAGGTATTGTAATATACATTATGAATATTTGTGCTATATTATATTCTTTCGGAACGGACCGTTGTGAGCGGTGAATTTCAAAGTTTTGACGGGCTTTGATGTAATCTGGATCGCTGCCCCGGAGTCGCCGATTGGGTGCCTAGCAGGGTGGGAACAAATATGAAAAAATGGGTGGTTGACTCCAAAGTTGCTATTGAACTGGGAAAACGCTATCGGAAAAATGATGGGAATCATCTTGCTGGCTTACCAAGCTGTTTCATCGGGTAGTGAAGTTGTTTCCCATTGGATCGTCAGTGATAGAGACATGGGAGGAACCCCATTTTCAAACCCACAGTTATGGCCAATAAATATGTGGTTACACAAAGTATACATTCCACAGATATCCATACATGGGCATATTTCAGTACTTCTACCTCGTAATTCCATATATAAATATATATAATATATACTTATTAAAGGGCCATTTTCATAGGTCCCAGGATATCCCAGGTATGTTTGCGTGGTGCGAGAATGCCTTGATCGTTGCCCGCATCATCACCGGTATCGGCATGGGCGGTGAGAACCTTGATATGACTTCGGGGGGAAGCCGAACATCTTGTGGGTCTAAGATAAGGTTTTTTAAAAACGGCATAACCTGGACACACACACACACACATATATATATACATGCTATTCCTGAGATCTTCAAGTGGCATTGATATATAGTATATAATATATATATAAATGCACATTATGTATATATATATAATGATGACACATGCTCGTATTTAAACATTTGTTGGATCAAAAACTAGGGGCAGACCTACCAATTCCTGGCACACAGCAGCCCATGAGTGCTGGGTCTGAGTTTTGATCTCTGGGTCACAATGCCTCACGGATGCCCCTGGAATCCTGGAACTTTTGCTGTTTTTTGGGGCAAAGCTGAGTTCATCAGCATAAAAATGCTCAGCATTTTTTGGTTGGCGTTCAAATACCATGCGAAAGGGGGTTGGTAGGATGCCCAAAATTCATACCCTCTGGTTATTTAACAGTTAGAAAATCACAATTTTGAATAGCAAAGCATCAACGGGCCCTTTTCCATAGCTATTTTAGTCTATTGGAGGGTTTTTCATCCCCATTAAATCATCATTTCTAGTGGTTTCTGTGAATCCCATGAAATCAACATATGAAATCACCATGGCTTTGCTAGTTAAGTCTTGTTAAAACACCATTTACATTGGTTAAATCCAATGAAATCAAAATTAATGGTTAATGGTTAATTAAAAAGACTTAAATCCCATATCTTGTTAAATCCCACTGAATCACAATTTTGGTTGATTAAATCCCATTGAATCACCATGGTTTTGCAGTTTCTTTTGCCATGTTTTATCGCATCAAAAGGTTGCTATTGACCAGTCTCGGATCGTCTCCAAGGTACCCTTTAGCCTCCTCCCACAGCGCCGAAAGTTCCGAGAGCACCAACGATGGCGCGAAAAACGTGGCGCTGCTGTACCTTTTCGGCTCCGGTGGTGGGCAGGTGCCGCGGGACATCATCCCAGTTACAGGAAGATTTTCCTAGGGTAAACTAACATAGATGTGGAACCCATGGTTTTCCGAAAGCGATCTATACAAATGGTAAGTTTTCCCAATTGTTTAAGGGGACCCATTTATTTAGGGCTTATTTTGTAATTTACGGTTTTTTTTGATTCCCCTCTCCTCTCTACTGTGCTGTTTTTCTGCTTCTCTGTTTTTTTTTGCTTCTCTGCTTTTCTGCTTTTGTTTGCTTCTACGCTTCTCTGCTGTTTTTGCCTCTGCTTTTTTGCTTTTCTGCTCTTTTGCTTCTCTCTTTTTCCCCACCTGCCAGGTGAGGGTTGTTAGATTTTATCTAAGTTGCCTGCTCCTCCTCCTCTCCTCCTCCTCTCGTCGTCCTCCTCCTCTCGTTGTCCTCCTCCTCTCGTTGTCCTCCTCGTCCTCCTGCTCAACTGCGACTCGCGATCCACAGTGTTCGCTGCCGGACCTCAACCACGACCATCCACGCCCAGTGTTCCCTGCCGGACCTCAACCACGGCCATCCCCGCCCAGTGGTCCCTGCCGGACCTCAACCACGACCATCCACGCCCAGTGTTCCCTGCCGGACCTCAACCGCGAGTATCCATGCCAAGTGTTCCCTGCCGGACCTCATGTAGGAAGATATGGGACAAAGAATGTGCAGAAGAAAGTTAGAAAGAATGTCAGAAATAATGTCAGAAGATATTCCAGAAATATGCCAGATAGAATGCCAAATAGAATGCCAGATAGAATGCCAGATAGAATTCCAGAAGAACATGTCAGAAGATATGCCAGAAGATATGCCAGAAGATAATGCCAGATAGAATGCCAGATAATATGCCAGAAGATATGCCAGATAGAATGCCAGATAGAATGCCAGAAGATTTGCCAGATAGAATGCCAGAAAATATGCCAGAAGATATGCCAGATAGATATGTCAGAAGATATGCCAGAAGATATGCCAGAAGATATGCCAGAAGATATTTCAGAATATATGCCAGAAGATATGTCAGATGAATGCCAGAAGATATGTCAGAATATATGAGAAGATGCCAGATAGAATGCCAGAAGATATGTCAGATAGATTGCCAGAAGATATGCCAGATAGAATGCCAGAAGATTTGCCAGATAGAATGCCAGAAGATATGACAGAAGATATGCCAGATAGAATGCCAAATAGAATGTCAGAAGATATGTCAGATAGAATGCCAGAAGATTTGCCAGTAAGAAAATGTATAAATGTCATGGTGGGGATCACACGAAGTAAAGTAATTATTGCGCTACTGTTTTTCCCCACCTGCCAGGTGAGGGTTGTTAGATTTTATCAGAGTTCTTCTCCTCCTCCTCCTCCTCCTCGGCTAGCTATCCTCCTCCTCCTCTTCCTCCTCCTCGTCCTCCTCCTCCTTCTCCTCCGCCTGTTTCTCCTCGACCATGTCTGCATCAACTTCCACCTCAACTTCCGCCTTGCCAACTCTTGGCCAAGCTCTTTGCCAACTTCCCAGCTCAGTGTGCACCGCTGGGCCTCAACCTGGGACCTTCTGAGCTCAGTGTGCACTGCTGGACCTCAACCTGGGACCTTCCGAGCTCAGTGTGCACGGCTGGACCTCAACCGGGGACCTTCAGAGCTCAGTGTGCACCGCTGGACCTCAACCTGGGACCTTCCCAGCTCAGTGTGCACTGCTGGACCTCAACGGCCAGATAGAATGCCAGAAGATATGCCAGATAGAATGTCAGAAGATATGCCAGATAGAATGCCAAAAGATATGCCAGATAGAATGTCAGAAGATATGCCAGATAGAATGCCAAAAGATATGCCAGATAGAAAGCCAGAAGATATGTCAGATAGAATGCCAGAAGGTATGCCAGATAGAATGCCAGATAAAATGTCAGATAGACAATGCCAGAAGGTATGCCAGATAAAGTGCCAGAAGTTTGCCAGAAGATATGCCAGATAGAATGTGCCAGATAGAATGTGCCAGATAGAATGCCAGATAGAATGTCAGAAGATATGCCAGATAGAATGCCAAAAGATATGCCAGATAGAATGCCAGAAGATATGTCAGATAGAATGCCAGAAGATATGCCAGATAGAATGCCAGAAGATTTGCCAGATAGAATGCCAGAAGATATGCCAGAACATATGCCAGAAGATATGCCAGAAGATATGCCAGATAGAATGCCAGAAGGTATAAATGTCATGGTGGGGATAACTCGAAGTAAAGCAATTTTGGCTTCCAGTTTTTTTTGTTTCTCTGTTTTTCTGCTTCTCTCTACACTTTCACACTCTACACTTTAGACTTTGCACTTTGCACTTTACACTTTACTTTTACACTCTACACTTTACACTTCACACTTGAAACTTGACACTCCACACTCTACACTCCACACTTTGCACTCCATACTCTACACTGTACGCTCCACACTCTGCACTCCACATTCCAAACTCTACACTCCATACTCTACACTTCACACTCCACACTTGACACTTGGCACTCCACACTCTACACTCCACACACTACACTCTACACTTTAGACTGTGAACTTTACACTGTACACTCCACATTCCACACTTTACACTCCACACTCCACAATCCCAAGGTCATACCCTACACATCCCTACGCATTACATTCCCCATTCCACACTCCACAGTCTACACTGGCAGGGTAACAGGGCACATGTACAAGACGGTTGAAATAACTTGATTCACAAACATGTTTTACGTGACTGCATTCGGGTTCGTTGGTTTCTCTTGTTTAGTGATTCTACACCCCATATGCTCCATGGTGCTGGAATACTTACGAACATTTACCCTATAAATGGCCCAGTCATATAGGTAAATATACCAGCAACATGGAGCATATGGGTACTGATTTCATTTGATTCATGTTTGCACATAAACCTTATTGTTTCAACCATAGGTCAGTGGGATGATCATGTTCAACTGCCCTTTGGTAAACCAACAGTTCGAACTCAATGGGCCGTGGATGACAGCATTTTCCAAAGCAAACTGTGACATTGCAGCAGATGATTAGCCTCTGGTAATGACTGTTACATAGCGAACTGGAAAGATCCACCATTTTAAAGAGGTAAACCATCTATTTCTGGCCATTTTCCATAGCAAACTGTTAGTTTACCAGAGGGTATTTCCCAGAATTCTACTGAGTTTCACCATTGAAGGCCCCTATTGATAGTGTGATTTTCCAGCCAGCCATGTTTGATGCCACCGAAAGGTATCAACCAATCCATTCATATGCCATTAGTATCCCACGAATATTCCATTATATTGCCATGTTAAATCCCATTCAATCACCAAGTTTGTTGTTCAAATCCCATGAAATAACAATTTTTGCCTTTTAAATCCAATTAAAAAAATAATTTTGCTGGTCAAGTCCCATTCAATCACCATTTTTGTTGGTTAACTCCCCCTTGTTTGTTCAGTACGGCAGGCCTTGTGCCCCTTGGTGACCTACATCATGGACGTCGCGGGTGTGCCCGATGAGATGCTCTGGCGTGGCATCTTCGCCGTAGGCGCCGGGAGGGAGACGTCCTGCTGACCTTTTTGGGGCCCTATGAATGGGTTTATGAATGTTCTCTGGTACTGTAACATAGCTATTGAAAAGGACCATTTATAGTGGATTTACCCATTGAAAATTGTGATTTTCCATAGTTATGTTAGTTTACCAGAGGTTTATGATGCATAAAATACATAACTGGTTGGTGGGTTGGAACATGAATTTTTATTCACTTTCCATATATATGGGATACTCCTTCCCATTGACTAATATTTTTCAAGATTGTTAAAACCACCAACCAGTTTATGAATGTTTATGATACATAAAATACATAAATGGGGATACCCGAATTGGGAGTTATAAACCATTTATGGGAGTCCCTATTCATAGAGGATATGTTGGTTTATACTTACAGAGATCTGCTCCCAGTTCTGTTTGTTGGTTTTTAACTACCATCAATGGGTTTATGATATCTACCAGTATCATACACTAATAGTTTTTATGATGTTAATTGGTTTATGACTAAATTACTCATGGATTTTTGATACTAGTATATAGATACATCCATATTTAATTGGAGTAAACCAACACACATAGCTGGGAGAATCGACATGATGGAGGTTTCCATGCATGGGGGTACCCCAATAGCTGGTTGATTTATAATGGAACATCCGAATCCAATGAAAATCTATCGCATGTTTACGCATTCCCATGGAAAGACGTGATATGGGGGGGTTATTAAAATGATGGCACCCAAAAATCACCCAAGTCATGGATGACCATGATTTAATATTGAAACCCATGGTGACTTGGGGATCCCCCATCTTAGGAAACACCCATATATGTATCTATCCCATCATATCCCATTATATTCCTTCATATCCCATTATAGGGGGATTTCCATACATGGGTGTACCCAAATAGCTGGTTGGTTTATAATTGAAAAAACTATTAAATTGGATGATTTAGGGGTATCCCCATTTCAGGAATATATATATATATTAATTATTACATATATACATACCATCTTATCACATTATATTCCATTATATCCTTTGATTTCCTGTTATATCCTACTATTATATTACCCATTATATACCATTATCATCTCTCATTTTATCCCATTCTATCCCCATGTTAAATGCTTCTCATGTGGCCCCACGTCAGGCTCCGTGCTGTCGCTGCTGGGTTTGGGGCTTCGCATTGTGGCGACCAAGGATAGTCAAAAGCACCTCGTGCAGAGGGATTCGGGGTGGGAGGAGCCAAGGCCGGATAATTTCAAAAAAAAACCACAAAAGCGACCCACCACACCAATCAGGATACCACATTAAACCATCCAGCTATTTGGGGTACCTCCATTTTAGGAAACATCCATATAGGATTGTCAGGCTTGCTGCAACCCATGATTTTCGTGATTCCCCCGAGGGTTGGAAAGATTTGAGTGGAGCAATCCTGGTTTTCTGGGATGTTGCAGATGAGATTTACATTATTTGGCACATTTCGGGAATATTTTCTGGCAGATTTTGCACCAAAGTTGTTTACCAAAGCAGTTTCCCCATGTGTTTTTTTTTTGCAATTACATGTAAGTAAGCGTGCCCCTTCTGAACATGAGCAAGTCATTACCCCATCCGCGCACTGTGTTTCTTGTGACTTGACAGTCCAAACATGTCCAAACAACAAGTTCTCGATTCAAGGTGATGGCCCATACTTATCTAAGTTGGTAAACCGCTCACAAGATCCAAACAGTGCACTTGGTAAGCAGTTTATGGTAGATCATGTTGGATTTATGCTAGATATATTATATTATTATATTGTATTATATACTTATATACCTATACTATCCTATACTTATATAGTAATATTTATTGTATGATATATCTATACTTATATATTATATCGTATTATCGAACTAGTTTCCAGGAGGCTTGTTATAAACGGAAAAACATCACTGGGGCGCAGCACGACCTGGCACAAAGCTGCCCAGAAGGTTATGAGATTTCGGGTGGTTTTGTATGCAGTCATCCCCGAAAACATATTTAAACAAATGCATTCTAACTAAAATAAAGCTGTTTTATTTTTCTATTTTGTTGGGAGTTACTTAATACATATATTATATTATATTATATAAATATATTAAAAAAAAACAATTATATATAAATATATTATACACATATATATATATATAATTGTACATAATTATATATACCTATTTATCAAATTATATGATACATATATATATATTTCATACATATAGTATCACACCTGCAAAAGCGGTGTTCTGACCCCCAGGCGTCCGCCACGCCGAGCCGCTCGAGGTTCAAGGCGAGTCGTGAAGATTCGAAGGCGAGCAAAGAGTCCACGCGAAGCTTGCTGCGACCCTACTGGAGGCGAACGGAGCCGAGCCGAGCTTAGAGGATGAAGGATCTTCATTACGGTCATGATGGGAATAGCTACCTTCCAGTGATTTTAATGAATTTTAATGGGTTTTAATGGACTATTACTCTATATGATTTATAATGAAGGTATTACCCTCCAAGTAAATTAACATAGACCTTGCCAGATAGGGGTTTGAAGATTAGTTTCCATTAAAAATTGGTGATTCTCAGCGTCCATGTTAATTTACCAGAGGCTAATGTGATTAATCGATGATGAATTTCAAGATTAGCCATGAAAATAATGATGAATAGCTTCATAATGGGTAATGATGGCTGATTTTATTCACTTAGTTAATGAACATCTTAATGGGTGTTTAATGCATACCTGAATGGCTGGTAATAAACCCTACTATGCAAACAAGTTCAGAAGATCTTAATAGTGATTCATGATTCCTAGTCTTAATCTTGATTTAAGTGCGTTTGAAAATCTTCATAGGTAGTATCTTAATGGTAATAAAGCCCAGTGAAAAAAAATCTTAAGAGGTTCAAATTAGGTAATTAAGATGTCAATAATTGCGAATCCCAATTAAATATATAGTAATTATATAACAATAGTAAACCTTCATAGTAAAGCCCAATTTTGGGTTAGTAATTTATACATGTAAACCCTAATCTTAGGTTAACATGTAAACCTCAATTATATACGAATGTGTATTAATAGGAGGGCTAGTTTATTCATATTTCTTGATGGTGATCAGCACAGAATCAGCACAGAAAGTGTTGTGTTGTAACCAGGCTGGCTTGTTGCACATGTGTTTTGACATGAATACCTGCACCTTCTGTTTACAACCGCCTCGAAAAAATGAAGCCTATAATCAAGGTAGCTACAAATGGGGATTTCCCACAATTCGGGATCCCCAAGTCAGCATGGCTCCAAATCAACTCAGCCCTTCAGGCCTTTGTTCGGCACTGCTGGGGCCTGGTTCCTCTACGACGTCGTGGAGTACGGCCTGAAGCAAAATGATGCAGCCATTTTCGATGCCAGAAACTTGGTGAAAACTTGGCTGAGTCAGGCGGGATCATGAGATCATGGCAAGATTTTACCATCACATATTAGATATAACACATGTATATTTATTTAGTTATATATACACATTGTTGTGTATATATATATACATGTTAGATATACATGCTACATATACGTATATGTATATATATATATATATTTACATACATATATACACATCTGCATACATCATATATATGTACATACATACGTACATACATACATGCATGCATGCATGCATACATACATACATACATATATACATACATATATATATATATATTAATACATTTACAAAGGCATACACATATAAACATATGTATGTATATATATATATATATATATATGCATATGTTCATATATCTACATATATATATACAAATACTTTTACAAATACATATACATTTACATATACATATATGCATAATATATATATATACAGACATATAATATATATATATATATATATATATAAATGTATGTATGTAATGTAATGTAATGTAATGTAATGTAATGTAATGTAATGTAATGTAATGTAATGTAATGTAATGTATGTAATGTATGTAATGTATGTATGTAATGTATGTATGTAATGTATGTAATGTAATGTAATGTAATGTAATGTAATGTAATGTAATGTAATGTAATGTATGTATGTATATATATATGTATGTATATATAGCCTCGTGCCCGCTTCTGGAACTGCGGACCACCTGAATTAGGTTGGGAAAACTTGTCAATTCTGGGACGAAATTTCGTCCCGGAATTTACAAGTTTCATTTGGGTCATTTTCATCATCATCATCATCATCATCAGCATCACATCATCATCATAATATATAATCATCATCATCATCATCATAATCATCAGCATCATCATCATCATCATCATCATCCTCGTCCCCGCTTCTGGAACCGCGCAAACCTGAATTAGGTTGGTAAAACTTGTCCCGTTCACATGAACGTTAACATCCTGCCGCAAGTTCACATGAACGTTAACATCCCCCCCCACCCCCCACCCCACCCCGCGTGTGCGTAGCATCAACTGCTGCCGCAAGTTCACATGAACGTTAACATCCCACCCCACCCCACCCCGCGTGTGCGTAGCATCAACTGCTGCCGCAAGTTCACATGAACGTTAACATCCCACCCCACCCCACCCCACCCCCCACCCCGCGTGTGCGTAACTGCTGCCGCAGTTCCAGAAGCCAGGACAAGCCTATATATACATATATAATATGTATAAATAAGTATGTATGTATGCATGCATGCACGCATGCATGCATGCATGTATGTATGTAATGTATGTAATGTATGTATGTATGTATGTATGTATGTATGAATGAATGAATGTATGTATGTATGTATGCATGCATGCATGCATGCATGCATGTATGTATGTATGTATGTAATGTATGTATGTAATGTATGTATGTATGTGTATATATATAATATGTATAAAAAAAAATATGTATGTATGTATGTATGTAATGTAATGTAATGTGATGTAATGTAATGTAATGTAATGTAATGTATGTATGTGTATACATGTATACATGTATACATGTATACATGTATACATGTATACATGTATATATGCATATGCCTGTATATATATAATATCTATATGTGAAACATGAATAGTCATTCGCGTACTTTCTTGATGTTGCCGATATTGGTGCATATGGGTTGCCCCAACATTTTGAAATCGCTCTCAAATGGTTGATTTTCCTTTAGTTTGTGACCAGGTTCATTGGGAAAATCACAATTTCTACAAACCATTGATTTAGTGGAGGTTTACCCTCTGGTAAACATACAAAAAACCATTGATTTTGGGGTGCCATAGTTTGAGACAACCCAAAAAAGGGTCAAGGCATATGGAACCGAGAGCATCCCGGCGTTAGGCATATGGATGGGTTGGTCGAAGCATCCTGACACCAAGATGAAACCCACTCGGAGGGCCCTTGAAAAACAGCGAAAAACCTACCATCTGGTTATGACTAACAGTTTGCCATGGAAGGATCCACCATTTTTAAGTTCGGTAAACCATCTATTTCAATGGGCCATTTTCCATGGCGAACTGTCACATGACCAGAGGGTATTTCCAAATTTCTCCATCATCCCAGCATGATAACCCCCCATGTTTTGAAACTGAGATCATGATGGGGACTATAGCCAGAGCGTGTTAGCAGTCTTTTGCCGCTTGGTTGGGCGTGGCTGGAAGATGGTTTTTATATCTGAATAATTTGGTGGAAACCATGGATCAATGGATTGGTTGCTGGGAAAATCTACACGAAACCATGGTTTTTACAATGACATTTTCAGGGCGTTCCTGGAGATATTCCCTAAAACTCCAATGATCACTACCGCAGCTTGCTTTGCTGCGTTGATGGTTTTTGGCATTTTCCCAGAAATCCACAACGACTGGGGAATCTGAGACCTAAAATGTTCCCATGAAATGGCTGTTAGAGCAGTAAAATCTCGCAGATTTGTTGACACACCCGTTTGGTTTCATGATTTTCTCTTGAAATACATGAAATCTAATTTTTTGGCTGTAAGAACTAAGAACACCCATGAAATCAACATTTGTTGGTTGTTAAATCACAATAGAATCCCATTTTTTGCAGCATTTTGGGTGGTTGAATCACCATTTTTTTTGATATTGAATCACCAAGACCAGAGGTCTGATGTGAGGGGCTTTCTTGGGCGCCTTTACACCTCACGGTCCTATGAATTTTTCCAAGACATCACTCCGATATCGTTGGACTGGTGATTGGTAGAAGCTTCCAAAATGACTTCAACCAAACAGAAAGACAGAAACCCTTTGAGTTTGGCCTCCAACCTGAGTTTGGCATGTTTGACCACGGTTTTCCATTGTGTTTCTGTTGTTCTGAACCCCTTTGAACTGCTGGAAACAACGGTGATGTGTTTTTTAGCGAAGCCATCCTGGCCGCCGTTTCTTAAGGCACTCGGATGCTGGTGATTCCCTCGTTGATCGTGGCACCGTGGTTGCTGACGAAGATCTCCAGCCGGAAGGTGCAGGTCGTGGGCTTTCTGGGCTGTGCCTTGTGCAACCTCGGCTTGGCCTTGGGCTATGGACCCCTGAAGGCGAGATCGGTGCCGACCTGGGGTGACCTGGGGTGACCTGGTGCCCCCGCAACGGGTCGGCGAAATTGGGTTAGTGCAGTAGCTATGGTTGTATGGTGACAAAATGTGAGAAAGGTAATGTAGTTAGGAGATCAACCATAAAGATCATGTAGTTATAGGATGTTATAGGTATATGGATCAGTTGAGGATGTTCCAACAAAATCAATTGTAGTCGTACCTTTTTCCTCATTTAGAATCGCATAGGACCATTTTCCTCTGATGTAATTATATCATTCCTGGTGAATAGGGCAGCAGTCAGACAAGAAAGATCATCATCGAGTTAGGAAGCCGCGCGGTGAAGTACCTCAGGCGTACTGAGATTTGTTTTGTTTTAAGCCTAAGCGGGTCACCCAACCAGAGTATGAAATATCTCCAATACACATTGTTGAACTGGCGTGTCGAAATCATTCGAAATGAGGCATTTACTCACCACTGACATTTTTATGCTATGACAAATCTCAAAAAGATTTAAGGTTCTTCAAGTATTTTAAACACCCAATTCTATATCGATGCTTAATACCCACACCATTTCCGGTAAAATTGAGGACGGTGAAAATTGGGTTAGGCCTCAAGGACTCTTAAATCTGCCAGGAGATTTCCATCTTGTTCATTGGGCTCTACATTGTGCAGCTGCCGCTTGTCGACCTTGCTATGCGAAGCTTCTGCCGGGGCGTCTGCTGGGGTGAAGTCATTGGGTAACCCCAATAGTTGGATGGTGAAACAAAAATCGACTAGAAATGACCTGTGGTCCCCTAGGTCTTGAACAATTTAAGGACTCATCCCTAGGTTTGTAGCAATTTTGGTCCAGAGGTACCTAATTTGGGTGACATCCAATCAGATCCAATCGCATCAGAGTGGGCAGAATTCGCTTGGGCAATGATTTGGGAGGCGGGATACACAATTTGCCGCACTGATCACAAATTTCTGTGGCACCTTCAGCAAATTCTATGTGCGCTGCGGTGATCCAAAATCAGTCACCCGGTTCGGTTAATAGAAGTGTTTTGACCGACACATCCTGCACTACATGCTTTGTTCCCGGCGAGAAAACATATGTGTACGGTTGTACGTAAGGAATTTCGTGAACCCTAATTTTAGCGAATATTCTGAGGGTGGACCCTCAATAAGCGTTTTGACTACATGAAAGCTCAAAATGGAAGGTTTTTGCGCTTAATTTTCGATGATTCTAAGTTGATAACGCATATTGAGCAGGTGGTTTTCCCGGTGGTATGTGCAGGACCTTGCCCGGACATTCAACCCGCAAACATTGTCAGATCTTGCCATTCCTGAGCTTAAGGTTTATTCAATTTTCTGATAATGATTGCGCTATATGCGTTTTGAGTGCTTGGAGAGTGAAAAACAACATTTGCTGTTTTCCTTTTTGACCAATTAGACTGTAAATTTGCATATCGCCTGTTTGGAAGTGACGGAACCACAACAATATTCACTTTCCTATATGCCAATCTGCGTTGATATAGTCATTTAAGTTTTATTTTTGTTGCAATGGAATCTCAATATAGCATGCTTCTCGGCTGGATGACCCTGAGCATCTTATCCGCTGGATGATCCTGAGCAGCATTCTCACAACTAAATGTTATTATCATTATCCCGGAAAGTCAAACGAACAAACGCTTCATGAAGAAACAACATATTCATGTTGGCATGCGGGCACCAATAACGAACAAACAAGTCTGAGGACATCCGCCCCAATCTTTCAAAGCCAAACGGTTTGAAGCGTTGCCGCCCTCAAATTTTGAAAAAAAAACGGTCCCTATAGTAAAATTCTGATGTTATCCTCCGAAACCTTTGGTGATATGATATCATGTGACATCCTGAGAAACTATATGCTGATCCTCTGGGCTGGTATCAGAAAATCCTGATGATATCCCCAGAGTTTATGGCTGGTAACGTGATAAATTTCTGCTGAATTTTTTATGAGTCCATTCTGATGATAATATCCTCAGACAGGTAGGATAATCCTCACAAACTTCTGATGATAATTCCGATGATATCCTTAGAAAGGTTATAATGAGACGCTGGTGATATCCGCAGAAAACAGTCGCAATTTGCGCTGAAAATATCGGCTACAAGACATCCTCGGACTTTGTAGCTGATGTGTTGCAACAAAAACTGATCCTTGATTAGCATAATTTGCTATATATATATATATATCAGAGAATCAGAACATTTTGATGGTTATCAAACACACAATTCTGGAGACTCCTCCAAATTTACTGAATAACCCTCAAAATTTTCGGGGGAGCCTTCAGATTTTCCCGTGGAATCATCAGCTTTTTTTGAGGATCCTCATCCTCAGACTTTTTGAGGATCCTCAGAATTTTCTGAGGATCGTCATCCTCAGAATTTTCTGAGGAGCCTCAGAATTTTCTGAGGATCGTCATCCTCAGAATTTTCTGAGGATCGTCATCCTCAGAATTTTCTGAAGATCCTTATGCCGAAAATTTTCTGAGGGTCCTCATCCTCAGAATTTTCTGAGGATCCTCAGAATTTTCTGAGGATCCTCAGAATTTTCTGAGGATCCGCAGAATTTTTTGAGGATTGTCATCAATTCTGAGGATCGCCATCCTCAGAATTTTGTGAAGATCCTCAGAATTTTCTGAGAATCGTCATCCTCAGAATTTTCTGTAAATCCTCAGAATTTTCTGAGTATCCTCAGAAATTTCTGAGGATCGCTATCTTCAGAATTTTCTGAGGATCGTCATCGTCATCCTCAGAATTTTTTGAGGATCCTTAGAATTTTCTGAGAATCGTCATCCTCAGAATTTTCTGAGGATCCTCAGAATTCTCTGAGGATCGTCATCCTCAGAATTTTCTGAGGATCGTCATCCTCAGAATTTTCTGAGGATCCTCAGAATTTTCTGAGGATCGTCATCGTCAGAATTTTCTGAGGATCCTCATCCTCAGAATTTTCTGAGGATTGTCATCCTCAGAATTTTCTGAGGATCCTCAGAATTTTCACTCGATAAGCGTTTTTTTGTTTGAAAATAAGCGTTTTTTTGGCACATTTTCATGAAAAAAAACGCTCATTGAGCGAAAATTCTGAGGGTCCTCAGAAAATTCTGAGGATGACCATCTTCAGAAAATTCTGAGGATGACGATCCTCAGAAAATTTTGCGGATCCTCGGAAAATTCTGAGGATGACGATCCTCAGAAAATTCTGAGGATCCTCAGAAAATTCTGAGGATGACGATCCTCAGAAAATTCTGAGGATCCTCAGAAAATTCTGAGGATGACCATCTTCAGAAAATTCTGAGGATCCTCGGAAAATTCTGAGGATGACGATCCTCAGAAAATTCTGAGGATGACGATCCTCAGAATTAATTCTGAGGATGACGATCCTCAGAAAATTCTGAGGATGAGTATCCTCAGAAAATTCCGAGGATGACGATCCTCAGAAAATTTTCAGCATAGGGGGTCTTCAGAAAATTCTGAAGATGAGGATCCTCAGAAAGTTCTGGGGATGACGATCCTCAGAAAATTCTGAGGGTCCTCAGAAAATTCTGAGGATGACGATCCTCAGAAAATTCTGAGGATTCTCTAGATTTTTTTGACAATCACCAGAAAATTCGGTTAATGACAATTCCGATAATCATTGGATATATCCGGTGCTCGTCAGCACGACGATCCTTGCAAAAAAAATTCTCCAAGAGCAAAGTCAAGCACGAAGCACGGCCCTATTGTGTACACAGACAACGCGCAGTGTTTTACTTGTTTTGTTTAAAATAGACCAAAGCTATATTTATTTTAAAATAGACCAAAACATGATGATAATCATCAAATGTATTTGATATTCAATCGCCAGATATATCCAGAGATTGTCAGAATGATGAACCTTGGCAAATCTGATTCTCAAAGGAAAAACAAACACAAAACATGCTGTTATTTTGTATACATACAGCACGCGCTGTTTTACTTGTTGTGTTTGCCTCTTTTTCCGTGCTCAAAATTACCTGATGCATGTCGCGAAAATGATATTCTGATAAACTCCTCATGATACCTTCAAACGTTCTGATGATCATCTGTAAATTCTGATATTCTCGGAAATGGTTCATGATATCCTCAGATAAATCTGATGACCCTCAAAAATTTCTGAATGTATCCCCCAGAGGTTCTGCTGATATCCTAGAATCCTAGAACATCCTAGATGCTTTATGATGATACCGTCAGAGAATTATTTCTCAGAAAATTCTGATCCTCAGAGATTGTTTTATCCTTCGGAAACTGTGATGGTATCCGCAAAAACGAAATTTCCATCAGTTTCCAAAAGTGACATCCCCCAAAATGCCCCATTTTATCCTTTGAACATGTTGCCATGTTGTTCATTTTCCTTTAAACAGTTTTATCATGTACATCCAAAAAATCTTGGAAACTGTCTTGATGTACTTTCAGGATATTCTGACTGCCGCAAGAACTTTCTCTTGATATATGTGGATATCCTGAGAAAATTCGGATGATATCCTCACACAATCCGATGGTATTTTCCCTCAAACCCAGTAAATCACATGGTTGATTGGTATAGCTGGCAGAAATCCGCCAAAATCTTATTTCACACTGAAAAGGGAAATTAAGGTCCCTGCCACCCAAAATACATTAAACACGCATATTACACAAAAAATGGACCTCGCAACATGTACTATTTTTTTTCGATGGTTCCCTGCATTCATGGTAAATGTTGGTAAATGGGTTTTCCTGACATAAGTGGTTAGATTCCCCAATATGCGTTCATGGCGCACGATTTTTTTTTTGATACACCTTAAACGCATATTGACCCCCCCCGCTAGCAGAATTGGACCATAAACGCATATTGGGCAAATAAACAGGACTTCACGAAATTTACTAGTTGTACGTGTTGATTTTTTGGGACACAGAATTTGTGACTTGAAATCAGTACAATGTTGAACATAGAAGTCAATGTGGGGATCACTGGTATAATTGGTAACAGTTTGGTATGGTGTGCATCAGCATTTTCATGACGGCTTTAGCATTGCAATGGTCTCGTCGAAGTTTATGGCTCAGGTCATTCCAGAGTTTGCCAGGTGATCCGACGACTTTGGATCCCCAAAATGGGTACCCTCCGGTGATTTACCCTCTGGTAAACTAACATAACTGTGGAAAATCACCATGTTTAATGGGAAAACTCACTATAAATGGCAATTTTCAATAGCTATGTTAAATTACCAGAGGGTAATAGTTGGCTATGGAAAACCATGGGAAAACCATAGGAAAATGGTGATTTAATGGTGATCAATCCATGATGAATGGTGACTAATGGTACTTTACCCTCCGGTTATTTAACAGTTGGCTATAGAATAGATGGCCCATAGAAACAGATGAGTTTCCCAGCGAACGAAGCCTCCATTTATTTTGGGGATGTTCATGGATTTTCCATAGCTATTTTTAACCAGATGGTAGATCAAATCACCAATTTTTTGGTTTTGACCATCCAGTTGTATCAAATTTGGTAATTCACATCAATTTTTGCACCTTGATTTTAGTAGGTATCACAAGAGGCGCATTGCTGTCACCATGAGCGATCCCCGGGTTGATGATATAGGGGGTGAGTGACACTACCCCCCCAAAAAATGGATTATCATTATCCTGGTTGGTGGTTTGGAACATGAGTTTATTTTTCCATTCAGTTGGGAAGAATGATCCCAACTGACGACCTCATATTTTTCAGAGGGGTAGGCATACCACCAACCAGTAAATATATATTAAAGATGATGTTGATAGGAGATAGTTGATAGATTCAAAAAATGGATTATATATCATTATCCATTCTGGGAAATATGTTCTTAAAGAACCAGTATATTTCACGGGACGATGGAAGGGTTCGTTCAAACTGCTGAATTTTTTCAATGGGTGAAACCAGCAAAAACGGGAAAATACGAGGGTTATATCATCAACACATGAGAAATTGGGTTTTTAACAACAAGATTGGGGATTTATCTGGATTTATGGCATGAACCTGGTGGTTTAACCAACTTAAATTATGTGAATTATCAGCTTTATACATAGGTTTTTACCACTTCTCAACCGCAGAAATATGGCAGGTGTCACCACCATGGCCATCAGCGCTGAGATCTTCCCCAGCATGGTACGAGGCAACGACAGATGTGGTGGCCCCCAAAGTTAGAATTGCCATAAAACAAAGATTACGTCCGTAATGGGTATCATTGATGTATATATATATATAATAATCATTATATATATACACCCATATATATATACATATATGTATATAGTGATATGTAATGATATGTATATAATAAGAAATTGCATACACAACCAACAATAAACCAATGTTAAGATATGGAATATAATTATAGTAATATCATGGGATAAGTAATCTGAAACTCCTAGCTATGTTGGTGTCGGAAACCCGTCTAAGATTCACGGGAGCACCATCTTGTGAGAATTAAGACACTGAATATGTCGTATTTAAGAACAATTCTTAGATCATATGATGGGTACCCTCTGGTCAACATACAAAAAACTAGGGAAAACAACCATTTTTAATGGGTAAATCAACTATAAATGGCCATTTTCAATAGCAAACTGTAAACGTTTACCAGAGGGTATACTCTGGGTGATTGGGATATACCCATCCCCCCAAATACCGATCAGAAACATGTTTTTTTTTTGGGTAAAGTTTCGTGTAATTGGCCCAATTCGTTGCGCGGGCCCATATTGAGGGGTATTTGATAGGGAAACGAGATTAACACTCCATACACCGATGGATTCTGGATGCAAGGTTCAAGGATTTCAAGGGGGCTACAATGTACAATGATGCTGGGTTTCAACATGTTTCAACCCTTTTTGAAAGTAAGAGTTGAGGGGAATGCCAGCCGAAACTATAGATACCGCTATCAATTCATGTGAACTGTTGTGAACTGCTGATTTCGAAAAGATCCTGATGGGTGCGGGGTTCCCATTTTGCTAAACATTTGCTGCTCCAAGGGTCATTTCGAATTTTCGCTACCGCTAAACAGCTGGTGACATGACCCAGTAATCAAACATGGCAATTGAACACCCACCATTTATATCATACTCTGATTGGTGGTTTGGAATATTTTTTATTTTTCCCATCATATTGGGAATGTCATAATCCCAACTGACTTTAACTCCATCATTTTTCAGAGGGGTAGGTTCAAAGCACCAACCAGTACTGGATTTTCCCAGCCATAAACCTCCAGAGTTGGGGTATTTTATCCCATGAAATCCCATGATTTCCCATTTGAAGATATTCCAGTAATAGTCCATTCAGAAATACCATTCATATTCCATTCATATTCCACTCATATTCCACTCATATTCCATATATATATAATTATATATATATATATATTATATCTGGGTAAATTGTAACGACCTCACTGTTCTCCCGAGCCCTGGAAATCATAGTTAATAAATGTTAATAAGGGAAATCATCCCCATTCATGGCCGAACTATTCAGGTTAGTGAAATCACCATGTTAGTTCACGGATTTCCACATGAAAGGCCCAGCCCTGTTTTCTTCCAAAATCCACCCACAAAAGGTGCCGAAAGCTCGGTTCAGCCAGGCACGGGCGCCGGCATCAGCGCGGCCTTTGGCAAACTGGGCGCGACCATCGGATCCTATGCATTTTCGGAGCTGAAGAACTTGGGTGTCTGGGCGCGACCAAAAAGGCCCAATGGTTTGGGAAATCTTGAAACTAAATTAAAGATGCTTATATATATATATACATATATATCCAGTATGTAAATATATATATGTATATCCCATATTGTGCTAGATGTTTGGGTGTCTGGGTACAGTTTTCGCAGTTGGGTAATTTACTGTGGATCCATTGGGGATGATAGCAGCAGATGATCACCATATATATTGGCTGGTTTTTACATACAAAAAACCATGGAAAAGCAGCATTTTTAATGGGTAAACATATGAAGCAGTGCCATTTTCAATAGCAAAATATAGCAAACTGTAAACGTTTATCGCCATAAACAATGGCTGTTTGAGGCTGTTTGGGTATAGTTGAGCAGAGACACCATTGTGAATGGCATGAAACATCTATAGGTATGAACAAATGCTTAGAAACCATAGGTAATCAATGAGATGTTTGGGTACGGTTGAAACACGAATCGGCCCAGTTATTTTGTGAATTTGAAACAATAAGAACATCAGTATATGTCCAATATTATCCCATATTATCCCATCAAAAATCACTTGGATTTGCTATAGATTCCCTAAATGGTGGATTTTCCGCCACCGGAAAAAGAAAAAACAAAATCGCCTCAGGCAACTCCGGAAGATTAGGAAAAAATCATCCCATCGATTCAATGGGGGTTCTTCTATAGCGCACCGCAGCGGTATAGTTCCCATGAATGTGGTGATCTTCGATGTTTGGTTTCCTAAGTCATGGTGGTAACCCTGTTCATCATCCAGCTATTAGATTGGGATTTTCCAACAAAAAAACCATCCATTTTGTAGCCGCATGACTTAGGAGTTTCCTCCTAGCGTAGCTATGTTTTTTATTGCAGGGTATCTAGGGATGATGCGTAATGTTCAACCAATACTGGGAGTGTTTTTTTGTGATTTAAAGATTCCACCAGCAGAATCAGATTGGTCGATTTCACTGCAGCAAAGCCAAGTTGTTTAGCCATCCCTGATTGGTGCTGATCATCGAAGGTACCCTCTGGTTATGACTAACATAGCATACATAGCCATGGAAAATCCCCAAAATAAATGGAGGTTTTAATAGGTAAACCATCTATTTCTATGGGCCATTTTCCATGGCTATGTTAAATAACCAGAGGGTAGCATGTTTCGGATGATGTAAACATGACTAATATATATATATACCTACGGAATCCATTACCTTTTTTTTTTGGGTAGAAAAAAAAACCTATCTATTTTTAAAAATAGATATCTATTTTTATTTGACCATAATCCCAAATAAGATATTATAGGCTAAGAAGGTGATGGATTCCGTTTGAACTCATGTCACAAACGATTGATCATGATGTCAACTGATTTCAACACTAATGAAATCAATAGATGGACAAGTTTGGGCACCTGCAAGTGATTCAGGCACCTTTTTTCTCTCTATGCTAAAAGTTTAGCTTTGGCAAAGGCTGTGTACGCAGCAGTAAGGTACCTGTCCAGAGCTCGTTGGGCCACCAATCTAATGTTGACCTTTCGAGACAGCCTTGATGTTTTTCCAACTGTGTCTTCATCAATCTGGCAAGCAAACAGCATCGGATTGGGACAGGTCTTGACCTTGGATCCAGTAAAGTGCATCTCAAGCATGAGGTGGTGGAACACGTGAAGCTTAGGGTATAATGGCCAGAGCCATTGTTTGCTGTCCCTGTACATTGATTCAGCCAAAAATGCGTAAGTCCTCAGGAATTGTAAGCCCTGTTCACTGGCAAAAGCAGCTTCGTTCTCAGTCAAAAATGCACCAGCCCTGTAAAGCAAACTGAACATGCTGTTTAAACGATATGTCGCGGTCCGACACTGTAGCAACAAACCAGCACGGTCAGGAGCAACTTTTCCCAACAAAACCACAATCCATTGAAGGAAATTTGTAGTGAGGGCGGCTTTATGCCAATTTCCCATTGCACCACCATGATCTCCATAACTCATGAGGTAGGGACTGATCTTGCTGATGTGTGCCTGTTTCTTGTTGTCATGACACCAACGCAAATAGTCTTCAGTAAGGTATTCCCACTTCTCTTCCAAGTTACTGCATGGTAGCTGCTGCAGCACTAATTGCACCGTACTAGCCACCCAGCTACGACCAAAGCCAAGGTGAACAACATGCCAAATGTCACTTTTGAAGAAAGCAGCAGGGTCCCCACAGTCATGAACCAAATTTTTTATCACAGCTGGACATTGCACCCAAGGAAGTTTCACACCCATTGTAAGCAGCCACTTCGGGTTTGTAGTCGCAATCTCTTCTCCTGGAAACTCTCGAGTTCCTGCAAGGCAGTAGGGGCATGTCCCTTTGGGTGGTCCACGCTCCTCACCTCTTTTCGCCGTAGTGTTGTAAGTTCTGTAGAAGTTGCCAACTTTAGCCAAGTACGGGGCATCCCCCTTCACTCCCAGGACAACCACATGAAATTTCTCACCCCTTGAAACATCCTCAAAGCCCTCACGTAGGCACCGGTTCAAAGAGGCAGAAATATGACCCATTGTTTCATGGAAAATTCCAGGATTAGATTCATAGGCAGTCTTGGGCATGGTGTTCACAACATACCTCGTAGTAAAAGAATGGCCAGCAAAGTTGACCCGTAATTTGGCTGAATCAGCATTCTGTCCATGAACACGCTTTTCATCAAAGCCACGACCTAAAGCACTCTGGACTGATGTCACCATCAAACCATTTCTTTTCAAAGTACGGCCCTCATCTCCATGGATCAGCCAAGCTGCTGTTCTACTCAGATCAACGTTCTCCATGTGGAAAAGTTCAAAGTCTGGGTGAATTTGTTGGTAAGTCTTCCAAAACTGTAACCAATTTCGAGCAGCCCCATCATAGTCATGAACATCACAACCCGCCATCATGGGCCAAAGGCCTTTTGTGACAATGAACCGCAGCCATGACTCCGGTGAAATCCAGGGAACTTTGCATCCACTGCTGGTAACAGATGACACTGGGATATCTAGCTTGGATTTCTGTTTTTTCAAAGTTCTTTGCGCATCCCTTTCAGAGTTCTGTAAATGGCATGACGCCCATGTATCCACACCACAAGCAGCCGCTCGACCCTTCCCCATATCAGCAGCCACGGCTTGCGCCGTTAGGATCTGGCTAACACAGCTAGCCTCAGCATTTCGACCAAAAATGATGAAGAACCACTCAATCAAAGGTGTCGCTATGCCACACTGATATGCACTGGTTTCAGCAAACTTTGAACGGATCCAAACAATCTCACAACCAACCCTCAAGAGCACATGAAGCAAGCCGCTTTGAACATTTTGAGCATCGCATCAGGACTGCCAAATTAGGCTACCAAATATTGGCAGTAGCACTAACTGCTAAGGTGCAGGAGCTGGTACTCCAATGTATGAAACATCGACATCATAGGAAGCCAGCTAAATTACGTTTTCAAATTAATGGCTCTACCCTACTTCTCACTGTCATGGGTGGCCTCTTCCAAGACATGTAGACAATGTACGTCATGTACGGCCCCGAGTCCACCTCTTTCAATGTCTCCCCTCCACGGAGTTGATTTTTGCATCCCTGGATACCTTAGTGCAGTGCTGCAATGTGCTGTGATCATAAAGGAGTAATCCCCAAGGGTTAACAAAGTTAAACAGTTAGAGTCATCAGAACAAAAGTGAGCAAAAGTATTGACTCAGTAGGTGCCAACAGGAAACTTCTGAACCGGTCAATCAGTGCTGCCTCTAGAAAAGAAGGTCCATAAGGGTTCGCTGCTGCGTACACAACTACCAGGTGCCCAAACTTGTCCTTCGAATGCTTGTATCCAAAGGTTCTATTATGCCAACGAATCCATGCATCGTGTGTTATTCCCACCTTGAATGTCATTGGCTTGTTCTTCTCTAGAAGGCCTTCAAATACTTTTATTGCATGGTCAAGAACAGCACCAGCATTGGCATTGGGTCTTGGAAGGTTCATCGAAAGGTTGGGGTCCAACTCGATTTTCCTAAAGACATCTTGAGACCGGGGCAACCCCACAAGATCTCTATGCCTCATGTAGTCATCCCGGAATGTCATAGGTTCGGACACTGGCTGTTGTTCAGGCTCACCACCAATAGGTTCAGTACCTTGTAGTGGCAAACTGCTTGGGTTGGGATCTGACACCTCTGGGTGGCTACACTTCAAGCGTTTTGCTGGTTTGTACTGCCAAGCATAGGGGCCCAAAGAAGCCTCAGATAAGAGGCACACTGAACTATCAGAAAATTCAAAACATGTTTCAATGGGATTCCAAGTCAAAAGTTTTGGCAAGTAGCTGGTCGGTGACAGCTCAATAACTCAATGAGCTCATCATCGGAATCAGATATGGCCATGGCATCGGTTCAGGCATAAAGCCAAAGAAGCTGCTTGATTACTGTATATATAAGTTTATTGATTATGAACATTGAAACCAATATTAATTACTGTATAAGTCTTATAAGTGCTATTTCATGTTATGTGCTATGATGTTGTGCCGGGTCCATAGTCAACTTCAAAAGAGCTTTGTAAAACCATTCCCAACCCAATGTTGGTTAAGACAGCACAGGAGCCAATAACTTTCGGTTGGAGGTTCAGTAGCTCAGAGGCATGCACGTGCTATATAGCCATACCAGACTGTGTGCAAAGCTATATACAGTAATTCATTATCATTCATTCCAATCAAATTCAATGATGCTGCCAGCTTGATTGAGCCCATGGCCCCTTCGCCCACACTGGCTGCCAATCGCTTTGCAGTCTTGCCAACGCAACCTGGCTGCCGCAGTTGGCAGGAGGAATAAAAATTGTTGGGGGGATGAAGTGCCACCTGTGGATTCCGATGTTGATACTGCATGATTTTTGCCATTGGGTTGATTTTCAAGGCCCCAAAATATCCCTTAAATTCAAGTATGGACCCCCACAAGCACAAATACCCTGGATATTTTCCATGGCTCCCAAAGCATCATCAGGTAGCGCACCATCCAAGCAAAATGCCATCACGGCACATCTTCAAGTCACAAGAGACCACATGTTTTAGGACATGTACTAATTGGAGCAAACACCCCATAACATTGAGAAATCATTTGTAGGCAAGTAAATGATTGTCCACCTTGAAGTTCTCAGTGCCATGTCAGAGGCAAATTGACTATTTAATTTGGATTGCATCGCTGTAATACAATCCCAAACATCGAAATTTATGCCAGTGGTTTGTCACGGCATGTGCTTCATAGGAAGCTGGCATTCCCCAAGAAAAGCAATCACTCTAATCCTCCAACTTGTCATCCTCCTTCTTCTGAAAGTGGCGCTTTGCACTCCTGGCACATGACACGAGTTGTTTAAAGGCAATCGAACTCTTGCACACTTTTACCCCATGGGGTTCTCTGTCAAGGAAAATGGATGGATATTGATACTGTTTCAGCAGATTTGCTCAAAGAGATTGAGAAGCTGACCGAATCTTGGCTTCGTTCTGGGCAATCTTGGTGCACCTGGGCCCCGCATCCAACATAGCTAAGACCCATTGGAAATGACTCTTTGATATATAGCTCTGTTTTACTTATATATATATATATATCATGTATATTCGACACACATGAAATATTTGCAACCCAGGTGCGTGAAAGTTGAAGCTTTCATGATCGTCTCAGATTTCTCAGACCACCTAGGATATAGAGGTTTGCAAGATCATAAGAAGAATTCAATTGGAACTGGCAACTGCATTTTTGTGGCTATGGCCACGGAACCAACACATTCCTGAATAGATTGTTTGAATGAACCTGCTGGTAGGCTACTCCTTGTTGTAGTTGTCTCGCTCACCCTCTGCAACATGAGTTGACAGCCGGTTGTACTCGTTGTCCAAGGTGACCAAATCGGCATTCAGCGTTGCAATTGCCCTGATGGAGGCAGCATGGATAAAGCATTACTTTGGATTGGTGCCTAGCAAAAACCCAGACCAGATTAATCATTGAGTGGATCAATGCAATAATGTTCATAGTGCTAACATTAAATTGAGAATAGAAACTTCTTTGCTGTTGCATCCGTGGGGTAGTTCTTCTGCAAATCACCTATCAGAGACCGGATCTTCGCACACTTGGCCAGCACGCTGTCCACATATTTGGTGAAGATCTCTTTGGACCGGTTGGCCTCAAAATCAAGGTACATGGAACAACCTGGGTGGATTGGCAGGCAATTAAAATTTGTGAGTACTAATGGGCTAAAAAGATATCTGTAATGTTATTTACCCAAATCCTTAGACAAAATGGTAGAAGTCATATGTGCCTCACTGGTGGCTTTCACTGCTGCTCCCTGAGAAGCTTTCAGACGCTGCTCATTGGCTTCCACTCGGTCCAGGTCAACCCGAACATCAAGGCGTTCACGGTCCTGGCTGGCGCATGGTCAATCAATATTATTTAATGGGGATTGTGACTTGGCAGCATCAATGATGGATACTCAGGCTGTCCTGGGACATCTCCTCTCGGGTTTCCGAGTTGGTTACATTTTGCTTGATGTTGTCAGTCTCACGAACATGTACGTGATATTCACCATCACCTCCATACTTGCATTTCCTTCAGGGGAAACGACAGAAACAACTAGGAGTTTGTCAAGCTAGATGGTGAACATTCCTTCATGGCATGACCTAAATAAAAAAAAATAAGCTTTCTCACGCAGCATGGCCTGACCAAGTGAAGCGGGTCTGCCTCACAGCACTTGATCGCACCAGCGATCTTCTTCCTCAACACCACAATGCAATGGGAGATAAACTATATCATGAAGCTGCAGATTTATCATGAAGTTTCAAAAGGTGCTTTTCAACATCCACCAAGTACAGATCAAACTCAATCAACAGGAAGTTGTTTTTTTGAGAAAAGGCTCGTATTCCACTTCAAGACCTTTATCATGTCATCCTTTGAGTACCATCCCATGGCAAGATCTGACTCTTGTGCATCGGTCTTAGTCACCGTCTTCTTCTTCAGGTTGATGAAGCGATCCTACCGGGCAGAGATCAGCGGTGCAGCTGGCTGGAACTGGCAGTGGCAAGGGGCAACTACTGAAAGAGATGCTTGGCAAAAAAATGGGCCTTATTGAAGTTGCAGCTTTCCAATTCACGTGCCATAGAGAGGTGGTCACCAGTTTTCCATTGTTCATGTAACCATTCTGGTACGTTGAGTTTTCCATTTTTGGACTCGCAAAGGCGCCGAAGCTTGGCTTTCAGCGCGTTCTCTTCCTCATGTGGACAGTTCAACAGGGAATGCATGTTAAACGAGAAAGTCAAAAGAAAATAACACCACTAAAGCAATTCAGAAAAACATCAGTTAAGTTTCTCTCTTGGCTTGCTTGGCCTGCTGCAAGATATCCTCTACTGGTCCCATATCACCTGAAATGTCATCATCATCACCCTTTTCATCTCCAGCATCAGCTTCACGCTTCCTTTTGGGGGCCCCTCCCTCCATGTCCGAATCCACAGCAGCCGGGAGCTGCCCAAGGAGCTGGACAGCAACGTTGGGATCAAGCTCACCTTTGCGAAGCATCTCAACGATGCGGAGAGTCACCTGGGCAGCAGAGCAGATGTAGGAAATGGTAAATTAGGGGAAGTGAGGGGAAGTGTTCAACATAAAATAAAGGCATTAATTTCAATAAAGTCAACATACATATATTTTTGCCAGAGGAGTCACAACAAACTTTTACTAATATCATTATAGGAACAGCACCATCAGGTTTAGACCCTGAAGACGATGCCACACATGCTGGTGCCGGGGATGTCGGGCTTGTGACATGAGTCTGGTCATCTGCAACACTGGCACTAGAAGGCAAACGGTTTGGTGGACTCTTCCCAGAATCCTTTCCCGACGATTTTTCAATCTGGGAATCAGAGGCTGGCTGGGTGTCCTCCAAATGGTGCTGGCCATGTTGAGGCGTAGCCTTAGACGACATCAGCATATAGCAGCTAGATGCAACCAACATCACCCCTGGATATGTTGAATGCCATTCCGTAACCCAAAGAAGGAAGCTGTCACAACCCTGTTTGGAAATTTCTGATCATACTCACATCAAAAGAAGGTGCCCAGCAGTATCCAAACAAGCCCCCACAGTAAACAGTGTCACAGTGTCCATACATACTTTCTATCATGTTCCACAATTTTAACCTGTGCAACATGCAGACTAAGAACCTGGGAGCGTAGATGGTCAGCCTCCAAAGCCGCCAAGGACATCTCCTCAGCCACACACGGCAGCGATATCATTGTATAGTTGCTTGGCCACAGGTTGGGGTTGGGCCTTTCAAAGCCAAAAGTTCAAAACATGTCTTACAAACGAATTCATTTTGTTTCTGATATGGATATGTACCAAACATGAACTGTATTTGTATATCCACTTCTCAAGAGCCAAGGAAAGTAGTAAGAAAAAACTGTGGCCCCTGGCAGTTGACTCCATTGCAGCCAAATCTGCTAGCTCGGCATCTAGCTCCTGCACCACTGGGACTGCACCCAAATACAGTAGCCATCCGTAGACCATATGATTCATGAAAGACCACCATTTTATACTTTGAATTGAAACAAAGCTTGTCTCATGATGTTTCATGCAAAACTCCTGCAACCTCTCCAAAGAATCGGGTAGAGGTTGGTTCATCAAGTCTTTGAACACATGAGAAAGTCCACGATCAAGGGCATTTGTCGAGTTCTCGTGAAAGCATAGTACGAGCAGTGTCAGCCCGGGCCAATGCCATAAAGTATGGCGTGAAACACTTCTAGTGATACCACCCTTCAGCCAAAATGCTTTTGAAAGATAGCTCAAATTTCTATCAAATTCTTTGGTATTGTTGGGTCAAACCTCTAAAAAAGATCTATGCTCTAATGCTCTAATGCAGATTCCAGGAATGCATGCAGCACATGCATATATCCAAGAGCCTTGTTCCCAGTAGAGCCTCAATCCCGACAAATTCATCCATGAATTGAAACGTTGGAAGACGTGGAGCTGCAAATGTGCGTCTTCTCGAATTGGTTCGAATTCGAATGACTAACTGTTGCAAAGAGCTCGGTCCCACATATCATAACCATAATCCGAGATAATTACATGTTAAGCCACTAAAAACCATATAAAACTCTTTCAAATTCGAGGCTAAAAATAGATATCTATTTGGGAAAATTACCCATAAAATTTTATGGGTAAATTACGCCAAATTATGGGTATTTTACGCCAAATTACGCATTACGGATTGGTTACGCGATTACGGTTTGAAATACCTATCTATTTTTTAATGCGCATAATGGGGTAATTACAAATTGATTATGGGTAATTATGGGCTGGTTATGGGCTGTCACAAAAAATAGATATCTATTTTCAGCCTTTTATGGGTAAATTATGGGTAAATTATGGGTATTTTTCCTTTCGATTACGGTTCGGTTACGGGGTGATTACGGTGATTACGGGTTACGCGTGAATTATGGGTAAAAATCTCCAAAATGGTGTTTGGAACTAATTTGAGTGAAGATGATCACAGGATTCAGGTAGATAATTCATTTTCGGGGACCGAACAGCAACAATTCAGCAACCTACCTTCGAAACTTCTTTAAAGTTTCTGAGGCAAATGGTTCCAAAAGCTGCGGGGGATAGACAAGCGAGCTCCACCCCTGAGAAAATGGCACACCGACACCATCTGTGCCTCAGGCCACGTATCATCAAACTCCATGGAAGTAAATGTCTCCAATGCCGTGGGTACCTTGGACGGCAGCTCAGGCATACCTGCTTTGTCGGCGATCAGGTCGTGGAACAATTCCACCAACTTCAATCCAAACTTTGGCGGATAGCACCTAAGCCAAGTAAGGCCAAACAAGCCTCTATGGTCACTACAAGGGATAACCCACATAGTTGATGGAAATGGGATACATTGACAGTGAAACCATTAAATGCCATGAATCTTCATTTGGTGAAATAAGGTTTGAATTTCTTCAAAGCTTTCTTACAGAGCTGCTCTTCAAACTGCATTCAAGATCTTACAGCTGATTGCATGCACAATCAACCACTGTGATTTCAAGTAAATAAGACCCCAACTCACTACCACGCAGATGAGTGCTTCCTTTGAACCGCTGTTTGCCAGTAGAGTCCTTATACTTGATAACCAGATCCTTGGCCTTTCCCTGGTCCTTGAGCACTTTTTTAGTCTGAGTCCAACCAGTCAACTTGCCCATGTTGAGCTTCCCAACGTGGTGGCTGTTGCAGAAAGCATACAAGGGTTTGGGGGTTGGACCTCCATAGTGGTACATGTGCCAGCAGACTTTGTGTACCTTGGGCCGCTAGGCGATATCCCCATGGAAGCTTGCAAGCCTTCCCAAATCTATATATATTATATAATATATAAAACCTAAGGGGAAGCCTTCTAAGACAATAGAGGTTTCCTGATGTAATGTGATTGCCCAAGGTCAATTGAACATAGAATTTCCCATCCTATTGGGTCCAATCATTTGCATATACTGTTTTGAAATGTGATTTGAAAAAAAGTCATTTTTTTTTGGCTAACTACTTCAAAACCAAAGAATGGTGATTTTCTACAAATCACAAAATTTCTGATCCCGACAATCCTCCTAAGGTAACCATAGTCCTGCATAGAAGATCTACATCATGGACAATTTACAATGATTGGCACCTTGGCAAAAACATTTGGGACTTGTGGGGTGTTGTGTCAAGAAACTGCACCTCGGCCTCCATGATGTTGGAGCATTTGAACCAGGTCTCTGAACCGTGGGTAGTATTCAAAGAAACTTTGAGCAGGTTGTTCTAGAAGTATGCATGCGTTGAGACATATTGCCACCATCATCAACAAAATGGTCCTTGGATGTCGAAATGGTAGATGAGGTCAAACCAAAGAAACACAATGACAGTTCTTAGGTGTTTTCAAAAATGATTGTACCCCATAATTCATCCAAAGCTCCGGCTCCCAAGGCAATTTGCATCCCTAACACTTTTAAAATCAGTGTTTCCAATGCTAGAACATGGTGAACGGGAAGAAGTCGCTTGGTTGATTGTTGTCCATGAACTACATTTCAGCCCAAAATGGGACAGCCATCCTTGTTGATAGTCTCCACGAAGAATCACTCCTAGAGCTGTCCTTGGCATCGGGATGGGGTAGAGTCACTAAGGGGCTTTAAATTATGTCAAGATTCAAGACCATACAGAATTTCAAGGGTGCACCCAGAGTAATATTATACACTACAACCCAACCATCCCCTCAAAAACATACACATATTCAACATTGATAAGTCGAACCTAGGATCGCCATGCCACTGTCAGTAAGCAAATCCATTGGATTTTCACCATCATGATTATCCTTCATGTACTCCAGGTCTAAACGTGCAGCTGGGATATTTGCATAGCGAAACATACGTGTGGCCTCTGCCTGACCAGCAAACATCTCGACAAAGCCCAGTTTTGTCTCATTCTCCTGGACCACAAAATTGGTTAACCAAAAAACATGTAGTCCCCAGAAACAGTTCCAAGGATTCACATCATTTCCAATGGTACTGTGTCCTGCAAGCTCATCGAAGAAACATCCGTCCAGACCAGAAGGAGCACTGCAAATAATAACACCTGGAGAAATTGGCAGGCTGGGTGGATAAACTTTGTGAAGTACCAATTATACTCCAACACTCCACCCCTTTCCAGTTGAGCACAAATCTGCTTGAAGAAACATCTCTTGATATCTTTTGATATTGATATATTGTTCACCATTGTCCAAAACTAAAACATGTTTGTTGTTGCACCTTGGGCGCTCCAAGCTGCTTGAGCCGGCAGCATAGCTTGTCCACAAAATCATCAGAGAATGCCATGATGCCCACAGGACACACGCAGGGATGAGGGTTGGTACAAGGCTTTTGTTGGAAAGTAGTCCTTTAAATCCAAATTGTATGTGTTTTTCAATGTTTTTGACTTTGGTTCTAAATATATAATTAGATCTTTTTGTGTGGTCACTGCATGTTCTGTTGCATTGCAGACCTTGACAACTTCCACGTACAGCAATGGTTTTCCTACCAACTTGACCTCAGCGACATGCAATCTCATGTTTTGCAGGGAAAGATATCGCATAAAACTATGAAATATATGAAAACAAATTCTCACAAACTAAAACCCCCAACTTAGCCAAAACATATTTACACCAGAAATTTCTTGAACAATGTTTCACATCCAGGCACCATACCCAGCACCCTAAACAGGCACGGGGGCACTTGCTTCATCATCAAGCAAGCCAAGCTTGACAGCCCACTTGTTGCCTCGAAGTTGAGGCATGCAGATGTCCCACCTCAGAATGCCGTGGCCGCTTCTGGGATACAAAGCAGCTGGAGGGAATGGGAGTAGTGGGCATGACATGTGGGGATCCAGTGGAACTTGGAGGGATATACACATATAAACAAAACAAATTTCAATTCCATGCTCTGCATTTCAAGTACAAATCCTTTAGCCACACGGTTTGTTTTCCCCAATTTCATCTATCGAGTCAGCTCGGAGGATTTCACGTGAGGTTGTCCCCACCCCTCCATGGTCCATGGTGTCCTTTTGGGATTGGCCAACTGCACCCCTAGATTTTTCGGATGAAATGGCCAGCACACAGGCAAGTCAAAGTAGAACATCAATATGTTACCATGACCATATCACCGAAGTAAAAAAATGCTATACATCTTCAAATCTGTGAACACTAAAATTGATGTCTCAGATATATACCCAATACTGTTGAACAAACAAACATTTTTTTTAAATGAAAAGTCTTTCGCACCAACCACTTAGACCTATGCCTGTGATCCCCTTCCCAAACTAAGACAGCGAATTGGACCAGCAGAAGTTGAGCTACATCAGATCCAAACACTGAATCTGGTCTGCACTTTGCTGCAATGGCGTTTTGGGAAGCACAATGATAGATAGATATTTTTTGAAACATGGATACTATTCTCAGAACTCTGTTGCGCTTCAAAGGAACGAATGTTGAATCCATTGGGAAGTATTGGGGAACCTGTTCAAATCAATGTAACTTGCAAACCAGTGGGTATCAGTTCAGTAAAACCCGATTACTTTTCTTTTGGGGTAAATCTTGACAACGCGACGCTCACATTGTACTTGATGAAAAACTTCTGGGTTTCCACTTTGCTGGTGGGATCTTGGTACTCCTTCAAGTCCTCCATGGGGAGATTTTCCAACCATGAAGCCTCAGATGGGCAGAAGCTTTTAGGGCAGAGCATGTGTAGAGGCTGAGGCATAAAAACAGAATTGGATAAAAACAAAGCCAGCTTCCAATGATTTTTTAAACATACTATATAGTTGGAAGATGTTCACAACTTTCCCCTTTTCCCCTATATATCATAAGATATCAAAAGAATATTGTAGTATTGTAGCCATCTATATTTCTGGGATTCCCTGATTCTCTGGCAACAAACAGTTTTATTATGCAACTACCCTTTCCCAAAGTGTTGACACAGGCTAGAAACCATCAACGAAGCCGAGACATATGCAGCAGTGATGTTGAACTTCCATCCATCAGGGCAAGTCCCATACTTACCGAAGTAAGCGACCAGAGGGGCATTCTTCAATGAGCCATCTGCCAACTTTGGAACTTTGACACCCACCGCTGGACGGCTCCAATACTCATCAAGCTTGAACTCCTGGTACTTGTCATTCTTGAGCTTCACCTGGAGGTAGTCCTTGACCTGGTCATTGGATTCAAAGCCGTCAACATTCTTCATGTGCTGCAGGCAGATTGCCTGAATCTGCCTGTCTTCAGTAGCTTCCTTTTCCATGACTCCTTTCACATGCTTCTGGCGACGGGACTTCTCCTTCTTCGTAAAAGGGGACAGGTTCACCTTGTTGATCTTCGGTTTCTTGCGGGCTGGCTGCGAGGCTGCCGAGGGCTCCTGCTCCTCATCTTTGCTGGGTTTCGACTGCTTTGCTCGCCGGTGGTTCTCTGGCTGCTCCTTCTCAAGGATGCTCTTCAGCGGCAAGGTTTTGCCAGATTTTTTGTCCACACGGTAGTGAACACTCTCCTCCTCATCACAATCATCATCAGAGTGAAAGAGTGCTTTCTTCGGGGTGACCATGTTCTCCGCATCATCCTCAGAAAGGTCTCTTTTGGCTGCTGCTTTCGCCTTTGCTTTCCTCTTGGGTGCTTGCTTCACTTTCGGCTCAGCCTTTGTCTTTGCCTCTGCCTTGGTTCGCTTTTTCTTGGGTGGATTTTCATCAGCATCTGGCAGCTCCAGCTCCAGATCGTCAACTGCTGCCTTCCTCAACCTTCGACGGGGTTTCTCCGGTTTCTCCTCTTCTTCACCATTACTCTCATCATGTTGATCGTCTTCCTTCTTCACCTCCTCATCAACTGGCTTCTTCTGTTTCCCTCTGCCTTTTCCTCTCCCCTTTGACTTACCCTTTCCCTTCATCCTTCCTGTCTCATGATCATCGTCTTTGGTCCCATTCTCCTTCGCAAGCTTCTTATTGTCCTTCTCTTCCTTCTTCTGCTTCTCTTTCTCAGCTTTCATCTTCAGCTGGTCTTGGCGAGTCAGCACCTGCCAGCGAGCAGTGGGAATGCCAGAGGTTGCAAGTCACTTTGGAAGAAGTGGTGAGTTGTAAAGGCCCACAAGAGGAAGGTGCCAAAACAGAAATGAAAATGATCATCCCAAGCAAGTTGCAAACAAGAATGAGCTGTTGAATTTGGGTCCCAAGTGTCAAGAAACAGTGTGCGTCCTAGTATATATTGTATAGTATATAGTATATATCATAATTTTTGCCACCTCCTAACCTTGTGTGGCTGCGGCTCATCCAGCTCTGGCTCATCCGGCTCTGGCTGGGTGGGTGGAATCTCATCTTCACCGTTATCATCCACAGGCATCTCCAAGCTGAAGAGAGAACTAGCATCCTCAACCTCCATAGGCTCCATAGGCTGAGTCTCATCTGCATCCATCGCAAATGGATTTTTTTTCGACGAACCACCTGCAGGACGAGTCCCATACCCAGACCATATCAGTATAATTGATCACAGACCAGAGACCAGGGAATCAACATCATACATAAATCATATCATAGGACTATAAACGGGAAAACTTGCATCTTAATACATGTTATGCCATAGGCCATTTGGGGATATCCAATCTGCTAGTGCTAAAAAATATAAAGTAATATTTTGATAAAATATGTGGTGGCAGAAGGATATATACAATCACAAAATACGCTTTGCCTTGTGGCACCGGCTCGGAAAAGGCTTGTGTCTTCTTCTCAGGGCCAGCATTCCTGAGTAGCAGCCACTACCATCCCACAACAAGGGACACAAATTCATCATACAATGTTAAGAGTGACCTGGATTTGATCAACCAATGTAGCTGCAACCATGTTAGAATTTATCAAATTTTAATAGAACCATAAACATATATTCTGTAGGCCCTACACTACAGGTTATAGACCTTGTTCCCATTATATACCCCATCAACCGCTGCCCCCAGCAAAGCTAAGAAGAGCATCTCGAGCGGCTGCTTCTTGAGCTCCACCATGCGCTGGGCGATCTTCAGCCGGAATGCCTTGACTTTCTCTGCCATTGAAAGGGCGCCTTGGCCAAGAAGCAGGAGCAGGATTGGAAGGTATTGGATGGATTCAGGGATTTGCTGGGCCAGTACTGGCATGCATGGGCAAGAAAGGGCGCAAAATAAAAAATGTCACGCATTATGTTATCTTATATTGATCGAGGTGCAAATGCAATCAACAAGACCACATGTGGCACATTCAGGTGACTTGTCCACCACCTCAGAGGGGGAAGCAGTAGCGGCATCTGGCACCTTTGCATCCAGCCAGTCCTTAAACTCCTGGAATTCCTGGTCATGTTCACCATCATCATCACAGTCATCATCCTGGGGGTCATCATCTTCCTTCATTGATTTGGATCGGCGGCATGAAGCCAAGTACTTGTCAATTGTCTCCTGAAGGGGTGATGTTGAAACACGGGTTCACTAGATGTGGATTCAATGTATGATACCAGTACCACAGGGTATCTTATAACAAATAACAGTTATATAATGTTTGCATCTTGTCCCATTTTGTTCATGGGTGAGCACTATTGACAAGGTATTGTTCTGGATGGGGCTGTAACTTAGTTCTAACCCTACTTTGTCCTGCATGGATGGGTCAAAGGCCAGAATCAAGTCATGAAAGCGAGTGTCCTGACAGGGGCCATTCAGAGGAAGGCCAGGTGTTTTTTGTGGATTTCAACCTATTAGTTTGATGTTTAACAAAAAATGCAGGGTCAAACTAACCAAATAAGATATCAGAGTTTCAACTTCAACCTCACCCAAACCAAATAAGAACCATTTTTTGACTTCAACCCAATTCCTTTGTCACTTCACCCCTGTAGCTGCGGCGTTTTACGAAACCAGAAAGTCTCTTGATCTCCATGCCAGCCTTGTAGGGGGCCTTGTTCCCAGTAGAGAGGCCACATCTTTCAAAGAGCGTTGTAGTTTCCCGGGTCAGGTCATCAATGTGTGGTAACTTATGGCCACTGGTCTTTCCAAGACGAACCAGAACTGGACGCATCACACATGCATTGGAAACCGCATTGACACGATTGGGTTTGCAAAACTTGTCCGTGTCTGCATAGACAAGTACACGCTTGTCATCTCTAATGCGATCCCGTAGCTCCTCAGAATTTTCCCATATCTTTGCCAATCCCAGGCACTTCATGGCCCAGAAAGGGAAACACCAGGCAAAGCCCACTTGAGTTGTAAAATGCTGTTGTGAGATCTATCCCCATGTGAACGCACAAGTTTTCCAAGAATGACTAAACTGTAAATTTTTTAAATCCTGTAACTCAGAAAGACCATCTGATCATGGCACATATGTTGATGACACCCACAGCCCAGGTGCCATGGATCCTTCAACCACCGGACCAATGAGCTGAGAGAAAATGGGGCCCCGGACAGCTTTGGCAGGTTTGATCTTGTAGAAGATCATCATGGAATTCCCAGCACGGGGCAGGCGGTATGGCAAAGGGAAAGTTATGATACCACAAAAAGTGAATACCAATTGGAAATGTTGCATAAACCTGTATTCATCAGGTAACCCATTCATCACCGGCCTATAGTTGACGTATATGCTAAAACTGGTGTTAAATGAACAGGGATAAAAACTACCAATTGATCTCCTTCACATGTGGCTCTCACATTTGGGCCACTAATGTCCAAAATGCATCAGATTCGCACCTTCCCTGAAGCCCCTGGAATCTATACCTATTGGATGAATACCCACATAAGATCCTCTTATAATGTTAAAAAATGGGGTATTATAAAAATAGATATCTATTTTTAAAAATAGATAACTATTTTTAGATGGAACCAGAAATAGATATCTATATTTTTTTTACCCCAAAAAAAAGTAGGTAAAAGGTTCAGTAGGTATATATGCTTGGAATGCGAGCGAGAAAGTTTCGCAGATTGTTCAAACAAAAATGTCTTCGATCAATGGTTGAACTGACAAAGATGGGGGTTCGACCAAGTTGTGAAATGATTTTGAGGCAATTGATTTTACGCCATTATTTTTTGAATCAGCAGAAGTGACATGGTTACACCAAAAAGCTATGAGGACTCACCCAAGAACGGGTAGAGAATTCCAACAGATTTCTTCACATTATTTTTCCAGTCGGGCCAAGTTATGACTTAAATCCTGGTTGGTGGTTTCAAACATTTTTTTATTTTCCACAATATATATGGGATAATCCTTCCCAACTGACGAACTCATATTTTTCAAGATGGTTAAAACCACCAACCATATTTTTTTTTCCATGGGAAAAATAATCCCAACTGACGAACTCATATTTTTCGGAGGGTAGGTATACCAGCAACCATTATAACTTACCCTCTGGTAATTTAACATACCTATTGAAAATGGCCCATTTATAGTTGATTTATCTATTAAAGATGGTGATTTTCCATAGTTATGTTAGTTTACCAGAGGATATATGATGTTCCCAGTTGTTTTAAGCATTTTTCCACATTCCTATCATTGTCACCACTTTATCGTGGTCGATTTTCCATCATATTCAATCCCATTACCCATCATTACTCCAATTTTTTTGAATCCAGAAAACTATGAAACCTCGGAACATCTTGGTACCTTGGTGGCTTTTCCATGTTTTTCCATCCGTGCCGACCGCGATTCAGGTTTGATTGCCACCATTTTCTGGGTCGTCGTCATCACATCTTTTTTGGCCATCCTCTTGACGCCTGGTTTTGAATTTTTGTGGAAGACGTTTTGGTACAGAAAAAATGGGGGAAAAATGAAGGTTTATAGTTCTGGGTAAATTATAACGACCTCACTGTTCTCCCGAGCCCTGGAATCATGGTGAATGTATAGGGAAATCATCCCCATTCATGGCCGAACTATTCAGGCTAGTGAAATATGATAATTTACCCAGATAGTTGGCAATTGTTGGGAAAATCCATCTATTTTATTGGGTCTTTGAAGTCTTTGTGTCATTTTCTAACTTTGGATTTGCTGAAGGTGGTGAACAGTGAAGAAAAGGTGAACTATGGTTCATGGGGCATATAACGAACTAGCATGAACTAGCTATTGGGCTTTTAAACCTGGTTGGTGGTTTGGCACATTTTTTTATTTTTCCATATATTGCGAATAATAATCCCAACTGACTAATATTTTTCAGAGGAGTTCAAACCACCAACCAGAAACTCATTTACCTGGATGTGCGGTTTGTCAATGATCTTGAATTTTCCCAACGGGGAATTCGGGGATGATTCCCCCGGCATCAAATGGGTTCAAGTTCAGCTGTTTTCAGGTTAGTGAACTATGACTAGCTCAATCTTACATGGATACTTTAATCCTTTAGTCTTTTGATATTAATGGGAATATCTACTAACCAGCAAAGAATTTGTCATTTTTTGGAGGGTATCTAAGATTAGTGAACTATGACGTAAATTCAGCCAGAAATATGGCTGTGTCTGATGATGGATTGAGCCAGTAAGAATATGGGAGATATATGGGAGATATTTACCAAGCACCTTTTCAAGGGACATGTTAAGGGATATGGATTGTTATGGTATATTTCCCTGAAGTGAATTATATATAGTTTAACCAAATATCATTGATTCATGGTATAACATGGTTTATGGGGTTCCTCATTAGGGGGTCCTAGATGAGGGACCCCAAAATCCTACGAAATTTCTCAATTTAATGGGAGGAACTGGAGGAAACAACAGTTTTGGAAGAAAAATAGGACATATCTTTTAATCATTCACATTATATATATATATAGTATATTATAGGATAGAATCAGAATCCCCTATTTTTGTACCCAATCAACATCAATCAACAAGAGTTTCTTGGACTTCTTATAGTCTGTTCAGTCTGTTCAGTCTGTCCACAAGCTTCATCGTTCTAAGGACCTTCTATGCCATCCCCTACTACAATGGAAGCACCCTGGATGCAGCCGATGCGCTGGCGCGGGAGGGGCAGATGGAGGAAGCCGTGCGCGTTCTCTTCGCGGGGCCCAGGAACCTGGAAGTACCTTGGCGCAGATCCGGAGCCTTCAGATCTCGAGGGCCAACAAAAAACATCAAAATGGAGGTCAATGGTTTTACTTTCCATAGCTATGTTAGTTTTATCTAGTCTTATAAGTTGATATACCCTCCTGAAAATATCTTTGAGCCTCTGAAAACGGAGGTATTTACAAAATTTTCCTGAGCGAGTTATGGAAGTTTCGCCAAGTAATGGTCATTTGCAGGAAAAAAACGCATTGAAAAGTTGAAGTCTCCTGAAGTTTAGAGAAATCCAAGTGATTTTGGATTTAATATGTATATATATATATACACGCATAATATATATATATACACATAATATATATATATATACATAATATATATATATGTATATATAGATGATCTACCCTCCCGGTGAATGTCATAGATGTGGAACCCCCCATGTACTTCATGACCTCAGGTGACTGAGGCACGTCTACCAACTGGGACCGCAGTTTCCAAGGTTATAACCCACGAGTTTTCCAGTTATGTTTGTTGGTTTATGTTGGTTTATAATACCCAATAGTGACTTAATATTGATATAAGATGATATAAGATGATATAAGTTGATATAAGATGATATAAGATGATATATCATGATATAAGATGATATATCATGACATAAGATGATATATCATGATATAAGATGAAAAAAGAAGATATATCATGATATAAGATGATATAACACGGTATATATATAATTATATATATATATAAAAGCTTTGTAAACCCAATAGCATCAAGGTATTCAGACCCTTCGTTGTGCAGCCACTTAAACAAGCCGAGTTTTTCGCTCGATTTCTTCAGGTCGATGCCAAGTCGAAGTATGCCAAGGACGAGGTGACGTCGGATGAGGAGTCTGGCAGCAGCCACTGGGGCTTGTGTTCACTGTGTTCATGGTGCAGCTTGTGGTTGAGATTTTCCATAGATTTACCATTGAATAGCTGGTTGATCTATGGTTAATCTATGGTTAATAATGGGAATAACAATACAATCATATATAATCAATATAGCTGGTTGGTGCTTTGGAAGATGAATTTTGTGTGTCCATTCAGTTGGGAATTTCATAATCCCAACTGACGAACTCATGTTTTTCAGAGGGGTAGGTATACCACCAACCAGATAGTGATGGAGTTATATTAATAGTGATTAATAGTGAACAATGGGAATATGATGAGGATATATAACCAACAATACAGGATGGGGCCCCCAGTCGGTTGCCTTAAAAAAGTGCCTCAATTAACTATGGTTTATGGTAGATATAACGAACTAGTTCAGGAGGTTATAATGGTTTATAAACCAACTTATAACTGCAGGGGGCCCATCCTGTACCCAATATTGATATATATATATACATATTAGAGATATTTGGAGATGATCATAATTTATGGAAAATCATGGATAGTATATGATCCCTCTGGTAAACTAACAGTTTGCTATTGAAAATGGCCATGGAAAGTTCGTTGATTTACATATGAAACATGGTGATTTTCCATAATTATGTTAGTTTACCAGAGGGTACAAGATTACAAGATGGTGCCCCATAGGCTCTTTTACTTGGGCAATGGGAAGTATCATGGGATTTTTTGATGGCATATATGACTTACTGGTGGGTTCGAGTAGTTATAAACATATTCAATCATACAAAAGGGATGATTTGTTGAGATGATGAACATATTTTTTTGAATAGGTTTGAAATCATCAACCAGTGTAGCTGCAGCGAGTATGAGACAGTTAGATATGTGGCCTTCCTCCTGGTTGAGATATCGCTTAGGTGCCATCAGGCTCCCGTGCCCGTGCCATATCAATGTGGCATTATCTCTCTGTATATATACTGGTTGGTGGTTTGGAACATTTTTTATTGTTCCATTCAGTTGGGAATAATAATCCCAACTTGCGAACTCATATTCTTCAGAGGGGTAGGTATACCACCAACCAGTACATATATATATATATATTATATATTATATTATATATATTATATTATATATATATATATATTATATTATATTATATTATATTATATTATTTATTATTATATATATTATTATTATATATATATATTATATCCATATTATATGTCATCATCATGGTCATGGTAGCTGGATAATGTATCCATATTGAGGGATGGCCCTCAAGCATATCGCGATTTTATCATGAGGATTTGCGTATATCCACAAGGATTCCCATCATATAGTAGGGATACAGCCAGCAGTTTGTTTTGAGGCAGAAACATAACCGTTTTCACACCACAGGGTTTAGTTTCTCTTGCGGAAAACAAACCTTTTCCAACGGAAGATCATAGGATGACCATACTGCCTGGCCTTTTTTCAGTACATGTGGCGACAATGGCTGGATGGAAAAATCCATCATTTCCACAGATCACAAGAGGGATGAATCTTCATTAATCCCAACTACCCTCTGGTTATGACTAACATAGCCATGGTTAAGCCATGGCCCATTGAAATAGATGGTTTACCGAACTTAATAGCATGGTGGATCTTTCCATGGCGAACTGTAGCAAATAACCAGAGGGTATGTTGGTGTTTTCCATGGTGAAATCTGGGAGCGGAGGCTGCGATTGACGCCCCTGTTGATGACGATTTTTTGGTATTTAAGGGCTTGTATGTTGAAGATTATTGCCAAAGATGTTCTTGGAATCCCAACCAAACAACAAGAAAAGTGTCTGGACGACGTTGCGGCTTTACCTGAGAAAGTGTTATATGATTCCCAGTTAGATGTTGCTATATGATGCTATATGGTGGTTATAAAGGTTATATATATATATGATTGTTGTTGTACCCATTTATGAGGATGTAGTCATAGAATGTAATATACAACATGTACTGGGTAATATGTAGTTTGTAGTATGTACTATTGCATATACAAAGATCAATATACACGATGATATACATATACAGAGTATATATATATATACACAGTATATACAAATTAGGGAAAAACACAAATGCATGTCTAAAAAATATACATATGTATATATATATATATATACATATGTATATATATACATATGATATATATATATATATACATATATATATATATATACATATATATATATATATACATAATATACGCTATATATATATAATGCACAATATATATATATATATATATATTTAAGATTGCATTTCATGATTTCATCCTACTAAGGACCTCCAGGTGTTTACCCAGCTATGCCCGCTCTAAGGCGTCCAAAAAGTGGAGGAAGTCCAGTGATTTTCCGCGGCCGCGGCCGGTGACGACTTAAAAAGATCGAGCCGTGCCAGGACCCGGCGTGGCTGGAGACGGTTGCGGGGCAACATGCCAACAAATTGAGAGGTTCTACCCCCTGGTAATTTGTTACATAGCTATTGCACATGGCCCAGTCGAAATAGTGAGTTTTCCCAATAAAAATGGACCATTTTCAATAGCTATGTAACAAATTACCAGAGGTTCTATGTTGGAATTGATGGATATTTATGGGATTTTTATAGGAGATTTTGTTGATAGGCTGATAGGAATTTGGGGAAAAACCCTCTGGTAAACAGCCACATAGACATGGAAAAACACCATGATTAATGGGTAAATCAACTATTTCGACTGGGCCATGTTCAATAGCAAACTGTTAGATTACCAGAGGGTATATATATATATAATGGGGTAAGTTGGATTTTTTTAAAATGAAACTCCAGTTGGGGATGGCTGACATTATGCATTTCTGGCAAACTAGTTGATGATTTACGGGAAATCGGTTGTACCACACAATTGGGAAATCGGTTTCACCGGAATTCCAGGACAGATCATCACTTCCGGTAGATCAACGGTTTGCCATGGAAAATCACCATTTTTTTAGTAGGTAAAATCCTCATATGATCATCTGATATCATCTGTCAGTGGACCATGTTCCATAATGTTCCATAGCAATCTTAAATTACCAGAGGGTGATCATGAAAATGCAAGTAGATCAAGCAGATCATGTCCCTCCGAGAACTATGGATTCTCCGTTGATCCTTGTTGTTTTTTTTCTGGGGAAAATCCGAGATATCTTTGGAACTTTTAAGATGAATAGAAACTAAAGATCAGATAAATGCCCAGATTTAGGATATTTTGGGATATGTTTGGTTCTGTGGAACATGACGACACACACAATTTTTTATGCGGTCGGACTCCAGATGGATTATCTCTCATGATGAATAGCCCAAAGACATCCAAAGACGGCATATCCCGTACCAAAGAACTGGTTGATCCTCCATTTGGGTGTGATGTTCATACTATGGATGGACAAGCCATCCTGCACCAGTTGGTAACTATTGGGAACATTTGGGAACTATGAAACACTGTAAACATGGCATTATAATGGGAGAAACCATTGCCAACTGGTTTAGGATGTCTTCCATCCACAGTAATTCAAGGAGTCAACGTTTTCTAGAAATATATCCAAGGCTGCGCAAATCAATACCAGCCAAAATTGGAACACACCAACATCAGGGAATCTACCCTTTGGTAAGCTAACATATAGCTATGGAAAATCGCCCATTTACAGATAATGTTCCCATTAAAACTAAAACTCCACGTATAGAAGAGTTTCAACTGCCAGGTTGATTGCCGGAGGGTACATTTCTTATATTTTCTTATAATCTATTTGGGTAAATTATCGCGACCTCACTGTTCTCCCTCACTGGAATCATGCTTATCATGGTTAGTAAGGATACTGTAACTATCCCATTAAATGGCCGCAAGTTTTAGGCTAATGACATATAAATACATATGATGGTTTGCCCAGATCTGCAAGGGGAACCTTGCACCCAATTTGTTCATCATCTTTTCAACCCGATGATGGCCACCTGGCTGATAGTTGATGTAGCTGTCAAAACTGGCGATTTTCCATGCAGTTGCCATTCCAAGAGATTTTGAGAATATTTTGTTGGGGATAGGGCCCATGGGAATGTATAGGTAACCGAAGTTAAAACCTGTGGTTCCCAACCAGTTGCTGTATCAGTGAACCATACCTGCTAATGGACGATGCTCCCATTTCAAAACTGCCCATGTCATTCCGTGGTAAAAAAAGGGCGGTTCCGAAGAGATTCTAAAGGTTCGCACCAACCTCAACCTGGCATGATGATCCCGATTGTTAAATATATATATACACAAATCTGGGTAAATTATAACGACCTCACTGTTCTCCCGAGCCCTGGAATCATGGTCAATAAGGGAAATCATCCCCAAATGGCCGAACTATTCAGGTTAGTGAATTATTATAATTTACCCATATATATGTATATATATATATATGTACTATATTTAATGTTATATATAATCATTGGTAATCAATATAACATATAATTCACATAAAAACTATATCATGGCGGTGTTGATCAATACAATATATCACATAGAAACTATATCATGGCGCTTGAAACCACCAATCAGCCAGCCATCAGGACCAACAGCAGACGGCTTCAGCTTCTGAAGCCTGAAGCCTGTGTAGGAATGGGGACCTGAACAATTGGGATTTCGACGAAAAGCTGGTTTTTCCAGACATAGATGGGAAAGCACATGAAAAAAGCAAAGATGAGGGTGCCATCAACACAAATGATATTCAACCTGGTATTTAGCAACACAAAGTGAACGTATCATCAACAAAGATGGCGTTTCCCCAGAAACTTTAGGGAGGTTGTTACACACATGGGGATTTTTTATTGATTAATTAATCAGATTGGGAGTCTACCCCCGCCCAAAGCTCACTGGCCATATGTTCACTGCCCGGTCAATTGAGTTCAGGAATCTCCAATTTTGAGACGGCACCTGAAAATCTGCATCCTGCACTTTTTCCAAATTTCCCCCAGAATTGAAGGTGCTGTCAAATTCACTTGCAGCTGCACACCTGGTGGTTTTGAAGATCTTTTTATGTTCAACCCTGTTTGTTTGGGATGATCCTTCTAGCTTACGTTCAGACCAGCCAGAAACTGGACCATGCTCTGCGGAAGGTGGTTTCTAGTGCTCTTCGGAGTTTGGGACAGAGCTTTGTCATTTTGATTCTGCTTGGTGGCTTCATTTGTTTCGACTTTCCTAGTCTTGGATTTTGTTGATCTCTGGTAATCAACAGTGGCTGGCAGGAAAAAAACAACAACAAATGGGAACATCATATATATATATTATCTAGTGGATTGCCAGATTGATTACCAGAGGATATTCCCATTAACATTCTCATGTTTGTTGGTTAAACCATGTTAAACACCTATAAATCACTATATAGATCTATAATATATATATATATATAGAATCCCATTAATTCGCGTTTAACGGTTGGGGTATTATTGTTGGTGAACTTGCAAACTGGGTCTGAAAGTTGAATGCCACCAAGCAGCAATTCATGTAGTGTCGAAAGGGCCCACAGAGGCCCAAATACATCGTGCAACCGATGGGTTTTTTGTTTTGACCCAAACGTGAGGACGTTTGTGAAACTGCCGAAGTGAATCTGCAGTTCTTTCATGTTCTTTCCACAAGGTACTGTATATGCTGATATGCTGTGCGTTTAAAAACGGGGAAGATCCCAAGATTTTGGGAATTTTGGGGTATCCAATAAATGGATACATACCCCCTAGGTATCTTTGTATCTTTTTCAAGTCTCATTCAGATTCACAGATCCGGTTGGTGTCAGCCTGCAAAGGCGGTTGGTGACACTAATTCATTGGCTTTTCAACGTGGCCAAAGGATTTTAGTGACTCGGACTCGCGTGGCGAACAAATCCCGGCGATGCTGAGGTGTCGTGACTTTGTGTTTTTTTTGATTTTCGGGCACGGGTGCACGAAATGCCCAAATTTACAGTGAATGGGTGGTGTAAAGATGTATAAATAATTAATAATGAATGTGGTTGGTTTATTATTGCTTTAGTAACAGTACCTCCAATTGCCTATTTCTGGTAAAAATTGGTTATGGTACCATGGTGTATCCTTGGACTTACCATATTATCTACAGTGGAGAGCCTGGGTTCTTGCTCTGAATGGCGGCGATGTGAATCTAACCAGTTAACATCTTGCTTTTTGGCAGGGTATCGCCAAACTCCCAACTCCAGAAGTTGGTTACAGTAAATCCAGATTGTTGGATTTTTTTGCTATCCATTTTGTGGCTTGAAACACCAAGCAGCAATTTTTACAACGGAGTATACACAATCATTGCCGTCTCAAGGTAACTCATGACCAGGAAAAAGCCCAGACGAAAATATCCTGCCGTTCATTGACACCATTGTCAAGTTAGTTGAATTTATATAACCACTAAACACACTCGATTCAGTGGGATATTGGGATCTCATGGGATATACACCATCAACCAACTAGCTTTCAGAAATTGGATGAAAACAACCAGAAATTGGATGAAAAAACCATGAGACACATCCATAAATGCTGAGTCAGTTCGTCCACCAGGTTATGGTTCGGATCTTTTTTCGAATGGCGTTCGGCCACTTCAACGGATCCCAGTCTCCAATGAAATGGGCCCTGGGACGACCGAAAAAAATGGTGTATGGTGTAAGATTAGTCATAACTTATGCCCTGATTGGTGGTTTGGAACATGAATGGATTATGAATTTCCATGAAGAGTTGGGAATGCCATCATCACTTACTGGTTGGTGGTTTCAAACATGTTTTTTCCATTTCATATATGGGATAATCCTTCCCATTGGCCAATATGTTTCAAGATGTTCAAACCACCAACCAGTTATGATAACTTTTGGGTGTAATCATTGATTAAGTTTTAACATGTTTTAAGACTATAGAACAATTTGACAAACCATCTACATTACCCATATGCCCCATGGTGCTGGTATATTTACCTACATGACTGGTGCTTTTGTTCGGGCAAATGTTGCTTTGCACATTCCAGCGCCATGGAGCATATGGGTAATAAACCAGCCCCAAAATCACCATGGAGCATGGGTGGTATGAACCATCAAACATGGGGTGGTTTATGGCATTGTTTTTGCCCACATGGAGCATATGGCTTATGGCTAATATACCCTTAATATACCATTATACCCTTAATATACCATTGATATACCATTGATATGGCAGTGTGTCAAAACCTTGTACCCCTGTAGTTCACATCAAAATAGCTGGTAAATGGATGTTCATTCCCCTAAACATGGTATTAATAGGTATTGATCCATACCCATATACCATTGATATACTTCTATCACTTTCTCACCACCTGTCTCTTCATTGGTAGGTCTTGTACTGGTCCCGTTCCACGGCGCAGTGGCTGCCTGCTACCGTACTCGGTGACTTGGCTGACTTGGCGTACGCGGGGCTTGGCGTTAAGGTATGCTAAAAACAAGATTTTATGATAGGTCAATTGGATGGTTTTTCCATGGTTTTCCATTGTTTTTCCATGGTTTTTGATGGTTTTGTTGGTTTTTCCGTGGTTTTTGATGGTTTTGTTGGTTTTTGATGGTACATTTCACTATAGTTCGATGGGTAGACGTACTATAATTAGTAACGAGGCAGTGCTCAGCCGATTTTTTTTTCTCAGGGACCCAGGGAGGTTGGAACTTCAGGGGCCCTCTGGTCATTTTTCACCGCCTTTGAAGAGGTTTTTATAATCTATAAATGATCCATTTGTAAACATATAGCTATAAATGATCCATTTATAGTTTGAAGAGGTAATAATAGAATTTTAGAATGATGCAAAAAAAGACCATAATGCTAGTTTACTGGAGGGCTACTCCACTTTTGGGGTGAACTCACCCACCGAAACAAACCGCCCAAGGGCGGGAAAGGACTAGAATCTGAGGCTCCTCTGCTACAGATCACGTGAATCACAGTGAATCACATGGCTCAAAATGAGGTAGCCCATGACGATCCCAAAAGTATCATATTGAAAAATGGGATGCTGAATACTTAAAATTGTTTTCCCTTGTTAATAAACATAGACCCTGAAAATCACAATTTTTAAGTGGAAACCAATCTTCCAACCCCTATCTGGCAGGGTCTATGTTAATTTACTGGAGGGTAACTTATATAATACTAAAGATGACAGAACCTCGCATTACGTTGAAACGTTTTGCCTCGCTAATTTTCTCCGAGGACACAACCTGCAGGGGACCTCACCAGATCCTGGATCGGAGGAGAGTTTTATGCGATTTCATCCGGGGGTTAGCCGTCAAAAAAAACATTTTTTTTAAAGGGGACCACTAAACCTTGGAGAACAAGTGATAGATGATGGTTGGTTGATGGTTGCTTGATTGTTAAAGATGGTTAACTTATGCTAATGTGGTTAAAACAATAATAAACCATCCCCCAGTCATCACCATTTTTATAGGTGGTATGTTTACCATTCCCAGTCATGGGTAGTCTATTATTGTTTTAACCACATTACATGGATTTCGGGGAAGTATGACATAGCGCAACATTTTCACAGGATATCAACCTGCTTGGTGTAATGGTGGGATGGGATATGAGGGTATTTGGCACGGGAAATCCCTGTAGGACGCGATCTGGATATGTTTCTGGGTAAATTTCATCAGGACCGAACCCTGTTCTCCCGAGCCCTGGAATCATGATTAAAAAGGGAATCATCACCATTCATGGCCGAACTATTCAGGTTAGTGAAATATTAGAATTTACCCAGATTCATGGTTTATTTTCCATGTTAATTGTGAAGCGATTTGCTACCCAATTGGGCATTTAAGTGGGAAAAAACAAAAATACTGTTTTCATTGCCATGATGTATTACCAGAGTGTATGTCCAAGGAAACGTGCATTTGACTAGGAAAATTTGGAGGTTTCACTTCAGTCCGCTTGTCCCGAGCTTACTACTATCGTTTCTGAATGTTCCCCGATTTGAGAAGGACCCTATATGGTTGTGTTCATTGACTGTATCATACTGTAGCTTTAATAATGTATGCAATATCACCATACACATATGAAGTGTAAATTCCCCACTGGAGGTATTCAGTCCACATACGCATGTTTATTAAGTTGCAACGTAAAGATTTCCAAAGTGAAAATCCCAAGTTGCACGGGCCCTCCAACGGGTCTTTTCAAAACCAATGGAGCTCTACCCCCCTTGGCCGATTTTTCGTATGACCTACTGGGAGTTGAACATTAAACCCATGAAAAACCCTTGGCTACGCAACCTTGGGATTCATAAAACATATAAAACTTATAGTTGATGAATGGCTTGTTTGGGAAATCATTCATGTCGTTTTAACAAATTTCCTACTCCAATGGTACCCAGCCATTGAAAGACAGCTCCAATGAGTTTTTCCAGCTGGTTGACGTAGTACCGATTCAACCGTTCCATTTTCCCAACAGTTTGATGTAATCTGTGGGGCCAAGCAGCCCATGTTTTAAGACACACCAACCATGACACGCCCTTGGACTGACGTTTTACGATTTTTTAGGGATTTCCAGATTCAGACATGCTGAAATGCCCATCTTTCATGATCATCATGATCCTGGGTCCCCTTTCACGTCCATTTTATGATAGCCATTTCATGTCCGCCCTCTCGTAGTCGCTGGGAAAAACTCCAGTTCATTGATTGGCCCAGACTTCCCATGGATTTCCCATATGGATTTCCCATGGATTTTCCATCCATTTCCCATGATGTCCCATGATTTCATTAATGATGTCCCATGATTTCCCACAATGTTCATCCATTTTCCCACTAAAATCTTCCCATGATTTCATATATTATGATATTATGTTCCATCTCCCATTTTCCCACCATGCTTCATCCATTTCATATTCCATTTTTCCAGGTCGATGTTCCCATGTGATTAAAAACTGTTCGCGTCGAACAGTCGGATCCTCGCCCAGGTCCCATGTGGCGTCCAAGGACTCAACGCAGGCTTCATTCCTTCCCAGAGGGTAAATGATGGGAAATGATTGGAAATGATGGCAAAAGGTATACCAAACATTTGGCAAATGGCATACCACATACCATCTGGTTATTTAACATAGCCATGGAAAATGGCCCATTTATAGATGGTTTACCTATTATAAATGGTGATTTTCCATGGCTATGAAATAACCAGAGGGTAGACCTCTCACTCCATTCTTCTTGTGGTTTCCAGCGGGTGTCAATGGAAAACCCGGCATCTGTGCGGACACTTTTTGAATCCCCTCGAGTGACACCCAGCTTATTTGCACACATGAGATTTTTGGGTATGGCTCAACATTCGGCACCCAGTTCAATGGCATCGTTCAATTTTCCCAAAAGCGAAAACAACACGGGAAAACCATCTATAAATGGGCCATTTTCCATGGCTATGTTAAATAACCAGATGGTATTTGGTATGCCATTTGCCAAATGTTTGGTATACCTTTGGCCATCATTTCCAATCATGTCCCATGGCTCGAGATTCTATTGACTTTCGAACAGATAACTCAGATAACCGATAGAGTCAGAAACTCTGTGAATCTCTGTACCATTTCATCCGGAAAGTCAAATAGCTACACCCATATGCTCCATGGTGCTGGAATATTTAGCAACATCTACCCCATAAATGACCCAGTCATGTAGGTAAATTTACCAGCAACATGGAGCATATGGGACAGAGCCTGTAAAAACCCTTTAAAAAAAACATGGTTCGCCCAGGCGAAGCTATGGAGCTACCAGTTAGATGTGCCTTGGAGACGATTTTTTGTGTTGAAGACAAAGAACTACTTTAAGAACATGTAAGAACTGGCCATATTAATGATGGGTTATTAATGGTTAATATATGGTTAATGATGTTTAATATATGGTTAATGTTGGTTAATGATGATTAATAATGCTTATTAATGGTTCATGATGATTAATGGCTATCTGGTTGGTGGTGACTGGAACCATGGAATTTTCCTGGTTAATCTATGGTTAATAATGGTTAATAATTGGAATAACAATATATCTGGTTGGTGGTTTGGAACCATGGAAATTTATGAATTTCCATTCAGTTGGGAATGGAAAATCATCCCAACTGACGAACTCCATGATTTTTCAGAGGGGTAGGCTCAACCACCACCCAGAAACTGTTATGGTTGGTTTTTAAGACATAGAAAAATGTTGAGATATGTTGAGACTCAAATTAGGTTTGAGCGATGTTTTTTTTTGATGATTCGCATCGAAGATAGATTACTCACAAGTTTCTTTGGAGAGATGGAAATACACTGGTTTGTGGTTTGGAACATTTTTTCGTTTTCCATATATTGGGAATAATCATCCCAACTGACTTTCATATTTTTCAGAGGGGTTGAAACCACCAATTAGTTATTTAATTTAAATCACCAGAAATCACCATCATATTCCACATTTGCTTTTCACAAATCATGAGAAATCCACATCAGCAGCAACATATCATTTTTTTTTGTTTTTGGGGGTTGCACGGGGAGAAAACATCACTTACTGGTTGGTGGTTTCAAACATTTTTTATTGTCCATAATATATGGTATAATCCTTCCCATTGACTTTCATATTTTTTCAAGCTGGTTAAAACCACCAAGCAGCTTACCCTCTGGTAATTTAACATAGCTATTGAACATGGCCATAGAAATAGTGAGTTTTCCCAATAAAAATGGACCATTTTCAATAGCTATTAGTTAAATTACCAGAGGGTAAATTCACCAGAAATATATATATATATATTAAGTGGATTATAATCATTATCCCATTTCATTCCATTAAATCCCATTGAAATCCCATTAAAAATCCATTAAAATCCCATTAAACACTATTAAATTCACCAGCAACATCCAGGACCCAAAAAATGATCCGCTTCCCAAAATCAGGTGCAACCCCAAGCGCCGCCTTCCCTGGTGCTTCGCCACACGGTCCGCCGTCAAGCTGGTGGGTGAACAGGTAACTGGAAAATGAACCACTGATTTTTGAATGAACATGTTTGAAAAACAATCATGAAGCCTACTCAAACATGATGATAAACATGATGAATTAGATTGAATTAGCTATTAAACAATTTAAACATGATGATTTACCGAGTTTTAGCATGTTTGGGGATTAACATATAAAAAATATCTAAACATTGATGTGAACAGAAGGGGTGCGGGGTTTTGACCCATGCCCAACTGGAAAATTGTCCATTGATAAACTGATAGATGATAAAACATTAAACATGGGAATATCATGGGAATATGACGTTTCTTAATGTTTATGCTGTAAACAAGAACCACCAGCTATTTTAATTATGAAGAATAGTTACAAACACTACATATATCCAACATTAAGTTATATCATTGATATACCCAGCATAGATCTTAGTTATAAATCCAGCAGCTTAGCTCTGAAATTGTCTCATTTAGTTTGATAACTGTGGGATTTTCACGTGAATATGATGGGATATATGACTTACTGGTTGGTGGTTTCAAGTATTTTTTGAACTTAATGTTTTCAAGCATCCAAAAGGGATGATTGGTTGAGATGACGTGCATAGTTTTTTTTTTTTTTTCCGACGGTGTTTGGCATATTTTTTTCCACTGGGAAATCTGCTGCGACTGGGGAATCTGGATTTTTTTCGTGGGGGGCATATGTTTTTCTTGGGGGGTTCCTGAAGCAAATCCAAGTGCCAGGGATATGAGGGGAAATAGTGAGATAATGTGTAGGACTTCGATTGAAGGATGGTGGTTTAAAGGGACGGGTACTATATGTGAATACTATAATTCTCTTTTTTTTTGGCATAAATGGGGATATGTAACCATTGTACCTATATATATATATTAACTATATAATATTACATATATTTTACATATATATATATATATATATGTATATATATATATATAGGTACTGTTATGTATTTACCAGCTAAAACATATTTCTTTGCAGAGTGTGCAGGAGAAACTCCTGTTACCCTCTGGTCATTTGTTACAGTTTGCGAACTGGAACATGACCAATTAATTTCAATAGTGGAGTTACCCAGCTATAAAATGGTGGATCTTTCCAGTTCGTTATGTAACAAATTACCCTCACCATTTTGGTGCTATTGGTCTGGATAATTATAACATATTATAACGACCTCACTGCGACCGCACTGGAAATCATGGTCAATAAGGGAAATCATCCTCAAATGGCCTTAATTCAGGTTAGTGAAATATTATAATTTACCCAGATCCATGGTTTTTTTCCGATCAAACGTCAGCCTTCTGGGATTGCGACAGGACGAGAAGAGTACGGTGAAGACGCCAACAGCAGGTGGGAATCCGACAGGAGTTGTCGCTAGCGCTGTTTGATGAGCGGAACTGTATGTTGGATGATTGGATGATTGGATGATGTTTGAAACTACCAATATTTTCGAATTGAACTATAGTAAGATGAATATCTTATATAATATGATATAGTAAGATGAACATATTTTATCTTAATATGGGGATAGGTGTAATCCTGAATTTGGGGTGAACGCAGGGTTCTTCCCGGCATTGGGGAATCTCTATGTTGACTTTGGTTAGGACTTGACCCCTTATGGTACTTCAAACACGGAAAATATACCGTAGTTCTAAAAAAAGGGACATCATTGAACTCTACCCTATGGTAAACATACAAAAAACGATGGACAATCACCATTTTATAGCTGGGTAAATCAATTATTTCTATGGCCATTTTCAATAGCAAACTGTTAGTTTACCAGAAGGTAATATGGGTGATGGCTTCCAGTTCGATTCTTGGCGCATTGCTCAGCAAACCACAGAAAATCACAGGGAAATTTCATCTTCCAACGGATAGTCCAGGTTACCCTCGACCGCGCTTGGTAGTGTCGTGGGCCTAGGGATTCCAGGGATGTAGAGGGGGAGAGACAAAGAGGAAATGTGTCGTTTTTTTGTTTTCGAACAGAAAACGAAGACATACATTGTGGCAGTCATTTCATCTATCAATACACATTCTGATATAGATGGATATATATATATATATATCCCATGTGTATATATCTATGGGTTCACATCCCCATTTTATTGGATTGGTTTAAAAAAGACACAGTCTGATCCTCCCGTAAAAAAAACGGCTAGCAATGTTTGGGATCTTTAAGTCTAGGCTGATGTGGGACGGCGCTGGGAAAGGAACACTGCTCCAATGGTACCACGCGAAAGGTGGTGCCCCCAAACGTGATGTTTTGTTGGTTTAGTACCCATCTAACTATTGTATACCGTATACCATTGTTATACCGTCCAGTAAATTAACATAGACCCTGCCAGATAGGGGTTGGAAGACTAGTTTCGACTATAAATAGGTCATGTTCAGGGTTTATGTTAAATCACCATTGTTATAATGCTGATAAACCATAGTTACCCTCCAGTAATCAAACATGGCAATTACAAATCCACTATTTATAGTTGTGTTTGGCACTTAAACCATGTTTTGGAGATGTTCCAGCTAGCCTGGGGTGACTACCGGAGGTAGACCATAATTAACCTAGTAAACTGCCTGGAGAATCATTCCACTTCGTAACTGGTTATTTGTGGATAGTAATAGCCATATTATTTATAAGCCAGTTAGGGGTTTCCTAAGTCATGGGGGTATCCCAAGCTCGCTGGTTTATTTCATGGAACATCCTATCAAAATGGATGATTTTGGGATCTCCCCCCATGCTGGACTGCCTCACTAAGCTGGAAATTCACCGCTTACGATCCGTGGGATGATCCTCCAAGTAAGCCCTTATGAACTCTGGATATGAACTATAGAATATTATAGATTATTATATATAGATTAATATTATATAATATTATATATATATATATCCATGATATCCTTCGGGATATCCCATGTCGTATATCCATGATATCCCTCTCGAGGGATATCCCTGACGTCATCGGTCTGAGTGGCACCAAGGCCCAACACCTGTCCATGGCCGTCAGGGTTCTCGGGGCTTCTCCGAAGCTGGCGAAGTTCGGTCGATGGTTTTTTGAAACTTACGGATATCCAATGGAAATTGGGATTTCATGGGACTTAACCAGCAAAAATGGTGATTTCATGGGACTTAACCAGCAAAAACGGTGATTTCATGGGACTTCACCAGCAAAAATTGGGATTGAATCTATTTAATCTTCAGTAAGTTGTGGATTCGACGAAGATTTTGATGAATTTCATCACACACAACTGCACAAAAATCGAAGAACAGTGGGATTTGACCAGCAAGTGGCCATGCCGCGACCACAATGTGGGATCGCCGGTTTGGAAGATGTAAATTGATGGGAAGTTTTAGAGAACACCGGACCTATTTTTGAGGTTAAGAAGAAACATAGAAAAACCATAGAAAAACCTACATTTTTCTGCTTGGTGGTTTGGAAGATGAATTTTATTCCATTCAGTTGGGAATGTCGTAACCCCAACTGTTACTCACTCTATGGTTTTTCACAGGGGGACGGCGTACCAACCACCAAGCAGTTTTGATCCATTGAATCCACCAGATCTGTGTCCCTGGAATGATGGCTGCTGGTGAATTATTACAATTCAGCCAGATATAATATACCAGTATAAATAAATGAACATATATATATATATATATATGGGAATATATTTATAGCGTATCATAGCGTATAGATTTATATTATAATTTATATGTATACATTATATATATAATCAACATGAATCAACCAGAAGTTTCAGCCAGAATTTTCCATAGAAGAACATGACTTGTGAGGCCAACGGCTCTAAGGATGGAGTGGGAAAGAGAGACTCAGGTGAGGGGAAATCATCGAAGGGTATGCTGCATGTTCGACTTCATTGGAAAACCGGATATTTATTGGGAAATCCATGGTTTCCTGTAGATGTTCCCTTAAACCAATCTATTGACGACTGCATTTTTTCGACTGTACGAGATTGATAGGCATCAGTGAGAAACCACATACTGAAGCCCCACGCAATGTATACTGAACCCAGTGACCATGCATACTTTTTGATATCGTCCATTCCTGTTTGGTATGATTGAGCCAAATTAAACTTACCTGTTCTTGAAGGCAAAACTGAAACAACCAACCAGAGATACAACATGAGATTGGTTTGTCTGAAAATACGGTACTCCAAACAATCCTCAAACATCCTGTCGTTTATCACATATATTTCACACCAACATTGTAAATTTGGGGTTTGCCCCATATTCAGATACATGATAGCTATATACATATGACATGTTGAATATTTAGCCATCGCTGTTAGTTAAACTTCATTTGATTTTTTTTGTTTTATTGTTGGCTAACAAAAGCATCAGTTTCATGTTATGTATCCATTTTATCCCCATTGTTGTTGGGTTAACCCATGTTAAAGCTCCATTTCTCATGATATATTCCCGATATTCATCCCATTCTGGTTAGACCACCACTTTATCCAAATTTAGTATGTTAGAGTATGTTATATCCACTCTTTCTATAGACTATAGCTCTACTCATATTGGATTTTACCGGCATTTTCTCCACATTTTCACAAATTTACTATGTTTAAGAACTATTTCTATAGACTCTACCCCTACTAATCTGCAGGTTAATCTGCAGGTTAATCCCCCGTTTATCATTTGTTGCTGAAAAAAAAACAAACCAGCTGTTGGCTCAGGATGGCTCGTTCGCCGCCTTGTTGGCAGGAGGTCAGTTTCCGTTTCTGCCAGGGTTGCCCTTTTTCTATGGGGCTTTCATAAATCATGGGGATACCCCAAGCTCGCTGGATGGTTTATTTCATGGAAAATCCTATGAACATGGATGATTTAGGGGTACCCCTATATCCTCATATGTGGATATAATGAGAGATATTGGACATATCTGGGATGTTGCCAAGAAATGTCAGAGTCCAATGGGAATATTATGGGTATACAATGGCAATATTATTGGATGTATAACCAATAATATGATATTACAGCAAATCCCAAACATTGATTCTGGATGATTCTGGTGCAATGTGGTGCAGGTTAATTATGTATAATTATGTTTGTTGGTATAACCGCCACGATATTTACGATATATCTAGGCAAATGAGGACGACCTCATTGTTCTCCCGAGCCCTGGCATCATGGTTTATTTCAGGGGAATCATCCCAAAATGCACAAAAACATTTCAGCTTAGTGAATTCTTCTAATTTACTCAGATATATCTACCATAAAACCAAACGTGAATACTTGGACTTCGAGACAGCAACTTTGCAACGAAGCCAATTTTGATGGGGATCGAAGATGGGAGACAGTGAAAGGCACATTTTCCGACTAGCGGAAAATGCCCATGCTTCATATTTTCATAGGTAATCTGGTTGGTGGTTTTGGAACCATGGAATTTTATGACTTTCCATTCAGGTGGGAATTTCATCATCCCAAGTGACTTGAACTCCATGATTTTTTCAGAGGGGTAGACGTACCAACCACCAACCAGGAATATATATATATATTAAGTGGATTATCATCCCATTCCATTCCATTAAAACCCATTAAATCCCAACCAGTAATCTACAAATGGCTCATGGCTTTTATGGCTGTTTTCTGCTAGTTTTGTTGGATCATCTCCTTTTTTGGGAAGCCACTGGATTCCGGATTCCGTCAGCCGTCCTTGCGCTAGCTGAGCTATATCAAGGCATTATAGAAATACACTCGCGGGAACAAACGTGTCTCGGGCTACCGTTTCAGGTATCAACTAACATGTCCACTCTGTACCGGCGTTTTCCTGGGGAATGCATTGCAACTTTTTTTGGGACCATTGACCCAAAAACAGCTAACATGTCTCAGTGCCTGCAATTGGGGCCCTTGGATTTCGACCCTGATCTGGGATATGTTCGCTATTTTTGGGGGATCGATTCAGCCAATAACCACTCACATATCTCAAAACCACATCCTCTGAACAACACGGACACGTTAGGTGGACGCTTTCCATGGCCAGTCATCCAACCCTTAGTAAACATCCAACCCTTAGTAAATGCAACTGGTTTTTGGAATGCACCCCAAATCTTCCTGCCCACCCACGAGCATCATCTACGATGCACTCTTCCGGAAGGAGTTGGGACCCCTTTTTTCTCCACCGTTTTGTTATCAACGCGGTCTTTGATTTGAGCCCTATTGGGGTCTGGAATAAGGATGCTGGGGCGTCCGGGGCGGTAGTCTTCTGGCAGTTTCCGGGGAACCCCCAGAGGGGGGACAATTTTTCCACTAATATGTCCATTCTTGATTTTCAACTAACATGTCTCAAGTATAGGGCATTTATCATAGCCTGTGTTCACAGCAGCTAACGTATCCAAAAAGAAATCCACAAAAAAGTGGATACGTGTCTCGGGCTACTGTTTCAGGTATCAACTAACATGTCCACTCTGTACCGGCGTTTTCCTGGATTTCCTGGGGAATGTATTGCAACTTTTTGGGACCATTGACCCAAAAACAGCTAACATGTCTCAGTTCCTGCAAGTGGGGCCCTTGCATTTGAGGGCGGGACAACTTTTCCACTAACATGTCCATTCTGGATTTTCAACTAACATGTCTCAAGTATAGGGCATTTATCATAGCCTATGTTCACAGCAGCTAACGTATCCAAAAAAACTTTTTTCCACAAAAAAAGTGGATACGTTTGTTCCCTAGAGAGTAGATGCAGAACATTAATCCCATATGCAACCCATGTATAGTGATGGTTAATGGCTATTAATGGGCTATCAATGGGACTAATCAGTGATGATTAATGGCGATAAAAATGGGACTAGTATGGGTTATTAGTGTTTTTTTGTCTAGTAATGGGCTATTAATCCCATATGCAACCCATGCTGCTGGTATATTTACCTACATGACTGGGTCATTTATGGGGTAAATGTTGGTGTGCATATTCCAGCACCATGGAGCATATGGGAATGCTGAATTTAACCATGTTTGGGTTGACTTTTTCCAAAAAAAAACTATCTATTGAAGTTACAATATTTCTACTCAATCCCAGAAAAAAATAGCTGTTGCATCATTGATGCTCCCACTGATGCTCCCAGTCATCATGGCTTATCATCATTGCCATTTGGGAGATTACCTTCATGGAGACCTATTGGACTCTGAATGGGATATAATGAGATATATTGGACAGTTGCCAAGAAATGTCAGAGTCCAATGGGAATATTATGGGTATGGACTTATTCCATGGAATTTTAAGGGACCCCCATTCATTCCGGGACCTTCATTCCCAATAATTTTCCCTCTTGGGGTTTCTTAAATGGGAGTAGATGGAGTTGTATTCCCATTGGGGGTATCCATAAATTCGACTAATGTATGTTCCCTATGTATCCCCATTATTTTGGGTTAAACTACCTCCCATTTCTTGATGGATGATATTATATTTATTTATTCATATATATATATATATATTATATCCTCAAAATTCTACTAATATGTGATTTTCACCTTGATTATCCTCGGTTAAACCTCCATTTCTCATGATATATTCCCAAGATTCATCCCATTCCGGAAAAAAAAACCACCACTTTATCCAAATTTTGTATGTTAGAGTATGTTTATATCCACTCTTTCTATAGGCTATAGCTCTACTCATATTGGATTTTCCCAGCATTTTCTCCACATTTTCGCAAATTTACTATGTTTAAGAACTATTTCTATAGACTCCACCCCTACTAATCTGCAGGTTAATCCCCCATTTATCATTTGTTGCAGGTTAATCCCCTACTAATCTACCGTTTCCCTGGTTCCCAGGCGGCCACTGCCCGAAAGCTGGCGCCCAGCGCCGTCGCCGCCGCCGTGGGCGTCGCGGCGACGCCGCCGAGCGCCACCATGCTGCCGCGGGCGGCGGTGGTGGCGCCAGAGGCACTGCATGTGCGGAGGACCTGGAGACAGGTGGTGATTTGATTACCCTCTGGTAAACATACAAAAAACTATAGAAAATCACCATTTTGAATAGGTAAATCAACTATAAATGGTACATTTTCAATAGCTATGTTAAATTACCAGAGGGTATCTGGTATTAGTAGTATGGCAGTGTGTCAAAACCTATAGTACCCCTGTAGTTCACATCAAAATAGCTGGGATTTATGGATGTTCATCCCCCTAAAAATGGTATTAATAGGTATTGATCCATACCCATATGGGCATTATATGATATAGATTATATATGATTATACATGGTATAGATATTTTGATAATCTGGTATAGATTAAAAGAAATCCCTTCCCCCTATATGGTATGAGAATATTACCATTAGATACTATATATCTGGTATAGATTATATATCTGGTATTAGTAATGTCAAGCCTGGATTAATAAACCCCAAACGGCCGTGCAAAATTGGGAGGGTACCAGAAAAAAGTATCAGATGATGACTATTGGAGGAGTACCCCCCTAAATTAATAAACCATGGTTGATGAATCCGGGGTTCACATCAAAAATTACCATTAGATACTATAAATATGTCTCACTGAATAGATCATTTAATTCATATATAGATATTATCCCTCCAGTAGATTAACATAAATTAAGAGCTGGACCCTAAAATCACAGTTTTTTCTCTAGTGGAAACTAATCGTTCAAGCAATTTATCAATGGATGACATGGAACTAATGAGAACAACATGGGGACGGAAGTTGAATGGATAATAGTCATCACTGATATCACCATGAGAGATGATAACCCCCTAAATAGGTATCTATAACCTATCTATAATATCTATTGGAGTGATTATCACCATTATAGAATAGTTATCTATATTATCTAATAATCTATATTATTTATCTATAACGTCTATTTAAATGAAAAAATGGTTATCCCAAATTCTGGTGATTTCAGTAATTAATTATAATGATCCAAATCCACAATGGAAATCCCAATGAACATAATGAACTTGGTGCTTTGGAGGATATGGAAGTTATAGCTACTTTAGGGGATAACTATTATCGCTATATCATCTTTCTGCTACTTTCCACATAAAATGAACGTAGATGATTATACATAGCCTCCAGAAATGATGATTTTGGGGAGGTGAGACTTAATGCGTTATATGGTACATTTCTAGTTCTCCAATAGAAAGAGGATGCACATCGGGAAAATTCATGGCTATGATGTACCGTGGGGATACAATCGGAACGAATGGTGGGGGGGTGTTCATCTCCGGTGTGATTTGGATAGTTGAAAACGGTGAAATTTGCAGCTCAAAGTGATACTCAAAACTGGCATTCTTACTGTAGATTGGAATCAGGACATCATTTTCCAAGACCAATGTTTCGTTCTTGGACCTGGATCTTACCCTCTGGTAATTTAACAGTTTGCTATTGAAATAGCCACTTTATAGTTGATTTACCTATTCAAAATGGTGATTTTCTATGGTTTTTTGTATGTTTACCAGAGGGTACCTTTTTTTTCCCCGCTGGGGCGTCGCGGCCAAGGTCACCACGCGCTTGCCGCGGCACTCGTTGACTTCCACGGACCAGCAGACGTTGATCGCTACGACTGAGTTGGATGCATTGCTCACGCCCACGCGTAGCTTGGCCTCGAACTGTTCGAGGGATGAGATAGGATGCAGATACCAGTGATGATTAATGGCTATTAATGGGACTAGTATGGGTTATTAGTGGTTAATGTCTAGTAATGGGCTATTAATCCCATTGGATATTTGGATTGGAATGGCATTTTAGTTATTTCACGGATATTCTATTCCATTACAGATAGGATTTATATTCTATATGACTATATAAATGGAATAGACCCATATGCAACCCATGGTGCTGGTATATTTACCTACATGACTAGGTCATTTATGTCATTTATGGGGTAGTCATGTTGGTGTGCATATTCCAGCACCATGGTTCGCATATGGGTATGAATCCATACGGTAGCAGATATGCTTATTTAAGTGTATCCACTGTGAAATGCCAAATTGGATCCAATCGTAGAGGTTTGGTATCTGGGATCCGTTCTCATGATGTTAATATTTGGATGAGTGGATCATATCACCGTGAGCCTTTTCGAGAGCTATCATCCTCCAATGTTAGTAATGCAATGCCGCGCCACCAGCCGTATCGGATCGATGAAACAGTCCAAGTACTCTTTAATAATCTTGGCAATGACCCAATGACCGGACAATCAGTGAATATCCCTCAATTTTTACCTGCTTGTACAGGATTTGTAGAATTGACATTCAGATCCCCTATTGTCATGTGTTTGTTTGATGTTTGCAAAACATATACTGTATATATATATACACATATACGCACATCCAAACTCTGGTAGATCCAAGTAGCCCTTCAGAAGCCGCCTCAGTAAATGCTTTCCCAAGACCGTTTGATTCCTTGACGGATTAAACCTTCAGCAATCAGTCTCCGCACGTATTGAAACCCACATGTTGGATAGGAAAAAAACAGTATTCAATGTTTGATTGCCAGAGGTGACAGCCATTTCATTCGTTCTAATGGTAAACTGATTTCTCAAGAAAAACATGGTAAAATCCATGTAAAATCATGTTTTATCCAGTTAAATCCCCCAAAGATATGGCTAAAATAAGCGTTTTTCTCCTCAACATTTCATGGTGAAACTTTTTTGTTTGGGTCAAAAATCACCAACATGGTGAAATCCATGTTGTTTCAGTTGAATCACCAGCATTTCATGGTGAGATCCAATTTTTTAGTTGAATTCCCAACAAAACTCATGGTGACATCAAGTCTGTTTCAAACTAATGGTTATATATCTTGAAAAAAAACATTTCGCTTGAAATGTTTCACTGAAACAATCATGAAACAATCATCTGGTTGGTGGTTTGGAACATTTTTTATTTTTCCATGTTTTCCATATATTGGGAATAATATTCCCAACTGACTAATG